CCACCAATTCAATGACAGAGGGTGATAGTTTTCGAATGGAGCGGTCGCCTCAGCGTCGCGCGCATTCGTCTTAAAAGCTTGCCGCTGCTTCAAGGATGGATGGAAGGCGAGCCGTTTTCAAAACGGAGCTCCCCGCATACCGCCGCGCACATTCGTCTTGAAAGTTTGCAGCAGTGGCAGGGATGGCGCGGGGGTCCGTTTCAAAGTGTGGCTTTCGCTCGGGGCCTCTCGTTTGAGGCCTCTCGGCATCTGAGAGATAGGAGACTCGCACACGTGCAACGGTCGGTGAAGGACAAACCTCCCTTGAACGGCCTAAGACCGAAACCGACGCACCTGGGCCCGCAAAAATGACGGCCGCGACGACCTCTCGCGAACCGAAAACGGACAATTCGCTAATCGACGTGTCAGGGTAGGAGGTCGATCAACCTCCGAAACAGGACACCTCGCTGAAGTGTAGAATCCTACCTGTTGCGCAGCCTTTACGACTAGCTGGAAGGATGCAGGACAGGTAGCTTCTTGTCAAAAGACAGGGCGCTCGCCGGAGAACAGCAGACCCATCGGGTGCTGATCGCTCACGGGGGAAAAAGGCGGAGGGCAGTGACTCCTGAGGAAAGAACGGGGACGGGAAGGTCGAGTGCAACATCGTTGATGCATCTTCCGTGATCGTTGGTCTTCCTCCTCCCCTTTTTTCCTCTCTCTATATGTGTATATATATACGGGTTGAAGTTCTGTTATGCCTGCTTCCCCCCCACGGTCGCCTTTTCTCTGGGACACTTTCGGGGACAGCCTAGCCTGACCTGGTCTGGCCTCTCTCTCTCTCTCTCGCTCTCTCTCTCTCTCTCTCTCGCTTCGCATATCATATCGGCTCATAGATGCAAACGTATGTAAGTCTATCTCACTCTCTCTCTCTCTCTATCGGCAAGTCCTGAAGCACTACGTGCGCTAGCGGTTCAGATTCGACATGCTGCTTCGCCACCAAGACGCTGTCCAACGTGTGTTGCCTGAGCGTGTCCGCACAAGCCGCTCCACTGTGTGTGTGCACTCCGCCAGTGCTGCAGTCGACAGCCCGACCGTCGAAGGGGAGAGTACCACCCGCCACCAGACCGCATGGACCACGTCTGTCACCCCGCCCGCGCCACGCCTGGACGATCGGGGGAAGGAAGAGGAGAAGCCGCAGCGGAGAGAAGGGAGGGTCGGAGGGTGGGGAGTCTCCCGCAACCGCAGGTGCAGCGAGTGCCTCGCGACGCCCTGCGTGCTGGGGCAGCCTGGCTCTGAACATCGGTGACAGCACCGCCGGGACCAGAAGGCGCGGAAGCAAGCGAGGAGGATGGGGGCGGGAGGAGAAGGAGGAGGAGGAGGGGGACTATCTCCGATCCATGTCTGTGCAACGTCAAGAAAGGAGGAGGAGGAGAAAGAGGAGGAGGAGAAAGAGGAGGAGGAGGAGGAGGAGGAGGAGGAGGAGGAGGAGGAGGAGGAGGAGGAGGAGGGAGGAGGAGGAAGGGAGGAGAGAAAGAGGAGGAGGAGGAGGAGGAGGAGGAAGAAGGGAAGGAGGAGGAAGGGAAGGAGGGAGGGAGGGAGGGACAGACGGAGAGGGGGGAGAATGAGAGGCGGGGGGGCGCGGCGGCGGCACGGCCTTGCCCTGCACCCATCTCACCTCCGCGCCGGGCGGGGCCGCACGAGGAGGCCCTCGCCCCCGCGGCGACCCCAACACGGGGGGGGGGGGGGGCCCGCCGCGGCGAGGCTTTTTCGGGGATGGACAGACCTCCCTTTAGTAAAACGTGGTTGAGTGAAAACGACCTGAGGCCCAAACCTGGCGGGCGCAAGCCTGGAAAATAACGGCCACGGCGCCCTCTCGAGAACCGAAAACGGACAATTCACTAATCGACGTGTCACTGTTGGGAGGTCTGTCCACCCCCGACTTTTGGGACACACTGAAGATCTGACATCGTACTGAAGGATCACATCCCGGAAACAATGTCGAGCACCCGGAAAAGTGTCGAAATAGAGTGTCGAGACGGTGTCGGACGAGCGTCTCCCAGGGTCCGACACGTGAAAGCCCTTGAGTTTTTGGGTACTTTTCTGGTGCTCGAAATTCTTTCTGGTGATCAAGGCTAACATAGTTTGGAATATCATAAGACTTCGGTGGAAACCACCGCCTCCGCAAGATAACATAAAGAATCCAGGACGGGCGAAATTCCACATTTGTGGGGCAGCGTTTCCCACTTGCGCTCATGGCCCATCCGGCACTGCGCGCAGCTCAAGCAATTACGCGCGCACAGCACTTCACAATTCATCCTAGCAAAGCAACCAGATAGCAGCAAAGGTGACATAAGAGAGACCTGTGGAACCTGTAGGACATGTGGGACCATCGAGGCCTGCTAGACCAGTTGGAGCTGTGAAACCTGTGGGACCTGTGGGACCTGTGGGACATGCGGGACCTGCGGGACCTGTGGGACCTGAGGGACTTGCGGGACTTACGAGACCCGCGAGCCCTCCAGAGCCTGTAGGACCTCTGGGACTTGTCGGACCTCCAGGACCAACGAGCCCTGTTGGAGCTGTGGGACCTGTGGGACCTCGACTTGTGGGACCAGCGGGACCAAAGAGACCTGCGAGATTTGTAGGATTTGTGGGATCTGTGGGAAATGCGGGACCTGCGGGGCCTGTGGGACATGAGAAACCTGGGAGACCTGTGGGGCCTGTGGGGCCTGTGGGACATGTGGGACCAGTGCGACCTGCAAGACTTGCGAGACACGTGGGACTTGTGGGACCGGTGGGACCCGTCGGACCTGTGGGGCCCGTGGGACCTGTGTGGCCCGTGAGACCTGTGGGACCTGTGAGACTTATGGGACCTGTGGGACCAGTGGGACCTTTGGGACCCCCTGGGCCTGCGGGACCTGTGGGACCTGGGGGACGTGTAAGACATGTATGTTATGTGGGATCAGTGGGGCCTGTCGGAATTGCGGGGCCTGCGAGACTTCTTGGAACTGTGGGACCTGTGGGGCATGTGGGCCCTCGTGCGCGGCCCAGCCGGGGGGCCAGGGACGTAATGGAATAAGAAGAGGCGCCATGAAATCTGAGGAAGTATCATGGCCCCCGCCATAGTATCCAGACCCCCCCAGTCATCACCCCCCCCCATTGCCGCTACCGATCCGAGCGATGCCAAGGACAGAGAGGAGCCCCGAGGCGGCCCTCGCGGACGAGCACCGCGCGCCGGCGCGACGCTGCCCGAACAGACACGCGGCTCGGCGGGGTGCGCCGACGAGGCGAGGCTGAGCCCCTCTCTGTGCACTCTCCTCCCTCCTCCCTCCTCCTCCTCCTCATACTGCCTCCTCCTCCCTCCTCCTCCTCCTCCTCCTCCTCCTCCTCCTCTCTCCTCTCTCCATCCCTCCCTCCCTCCCTCCCTCCCTCCCTCCTCCCTCCCTCCTCCTCTCCTCCCCTCCCTCCTCCTCCTCCTCCTCCCTCCTCCCTCCTCCTCCTCCTCCTCCTCCTCCTCCTGTTTTCTCTTCTCCTTGGTTCCTCCTCCTCTCCTCCTCCTCCTCCCTCCTGTTCCTCCTCCTCCTCCTCCTCCTCCTCCTCCTCCTCCTCCTCCTCCTCCTCCCCTTACTCCTCTACTCTTACGTCGACAACGACAACGACAACGGCGACGAAGACGACGACAAGAACGACGACGACGACAAGGACGACGACGACAGGCACTGCGCGGGGCGGGGCCACCACTCGGCCGCGCTTCGTCGCCGTCATCGCCTCTCCAGGGCCTCCGCCCGCCAAGGGCGCGGCCGTAAAGTTCGGAGGCAACTACTGGGAGGTTTTTTCGTCGGCAGGATCAAGGAGGATTAAGCCCCATTGGGAGGCTGCTACGCCGGAGTGGGCCTCGGATCAAGCGGGATTAAGCCGCATCAAGCGGGATTGAGCCGGATCAAGCGGGATTAAGCGGGAGTAAGCAGGATTTCGGACGAGGGCTCAAGCAGAATTTGACCTCCCAGGAGTTGCATCCGAACTAAAGGGCGAGCGGGCGGGGCGGGGGGCCGCGCGGCGAGGGGACCTCTGGCGACCGCTCAAGAGCTCGCTCGTCACCAACAGCATCAACAACATCAACAACGTCATCATCGACATCAACCACCAGCACCACTCGACGCCATCAACAGCACATCAACCAACGCCGCCCACCACCCTTCACCATCGCCCATCACCCGTCATCGCCACCACCGGGCATCATCGCCACTCCTCCCCCGCATCACCGACAACACTCAACAACAACATCAACGACATCACCATCATCAACGACAGCAACAACTATCAGTTTAAGACTGCTCGCTCTTACTTCCCCGCATGTCTTTTAGTTTGTATACGCCAATCCTCGATACTCGCCCACTTCGTCTTCGATCGCACCCCAATAGGGGGGGAAATCTTTCTGACTTCGGGGGCCTCCGTAGCCATGGCCTCTCGTTTAAAATCTGGAGGACGCTTCGAGCAGGAGCCCTTGTCGTCGTGGCTGGGCATCCGCCAACTTGACTGAATTGCGAGGATGAATCAGCATCAACACCAGCATCAGCATAATCATCATAATCATCTTCAGCATCAGCATCATCACATAAAGCATCCTCCTTATCATCAGTATCATCATTAACATTATCATCATCAACATCATCATCATCTCCATCACCATCACCATTCTCCTCCTCCTCCTCATCATCATCATCATCATCACTATCATCACCAACAGCACCATCATACTAATCATCATCAGCATCATCATCGCCTTCACTGTCACAAACACCCATCAGCATCAACGCTCATCCCGATGCCGTCACCGCCGAAACATCACCAACACCATCACATCCTCCTCATGTGGGGAAACCCCAAGATACCGATACCGCTACTCACCGCTCCCGGGATGCTCCCTGACCCGAATCTTGGAGCGCATCCAGCCGTGGCGACGAGGGCCTCCCCGGAGTCTATCAAAAGGGAACGGCGAAGGAAGGATAGTGGTGCCGGTACGTGTTCCTCCTCGGACCATCACCATTAAATGAGCGACGATCAGAAAGGGGTCTCACGCGAGATGACATAGCGACCTTAGGCGGCGGCTTACGCGGGCCGCCAACGCGGCATGTCACTTTGGAGACGAGGGCACTTACGCGCGACCTTCCGCGCAGTCGACACCGTTTTCCTTCGTCGCCGGCGAAGACGGCCTCATTTTCCTTCCGCCGCCTTCCGCCAGCCTTCCGCCACTTGGGTCGGGCCCAACCCAGCTATACCTTGGGGGGTAGCACGGTGACACCGCATGCCTGGCAAGATCCTCGGCGGAAGGTGGCGGACCGCCACCTTCCGCCGAGGAAGAGACGACAACTCCTTCGATCCTCGAAGGCCAGGTCCTTTCTGGAACGCTTCGTGACGACTTTTTTCCCTAGACTCAGCGCTGGCGTAGGTGGGCTGCCAGCACGGCCCGGAGGGGCCGCTGAGGCCAATGGCGACGCAGGTGGGGAGGCGTCTCTCCCGCCGGTACTAAGCTGTGCGTGTGTGCGCAACCATCTTGCCCGACACGGAATTCCGACCGCTCTTCACACGATGCTCGAATTTAACGATCGATGCTCAGCGACAGGGGAGGGGGGACAAATCTTCGGTGGCAACTCATGGGAGACTCCCATACCATCTTGTCGGCTCTTGCGAATCGGCGCTAAATCGACTCCAAATCGACGCTAACCCACGCTAAATCGGTGCTATCTCATCGACTCCCAGACGCCAATCGACGCCAATCGACGCTTACAGACAGAATTCCGAGGGTAACACAAGGCTCCGATAAATTGCTACCGAACAAATCCTTCCCCCCTCCCATATTGCTTAGATTGGGGAGTGCAAGAGGTACGGATACCGCTACTCCCCGGATCTCTCCCGGGGCGCGGCCTGACCAGAACTTCGAGGCGCATCCAGCGGTGGCGACTATATAGGGCCTCCAGGGAGGGCGAACATGGGGAAAACGGGCGACGGGTAGCAGTAGGAACACCTTTTTAGGGAACCGAACCCTGTACACTGTGACGCTTTTTTCTGGCCCTGCACTGAAACTCGTACAGGAAAACGGATCCTGGTGTATACGGGATGCTGGTGTATACATGTTCGTCATTTCCCCAGAAACGGGGGAACAACTATACACCACGCCACCCCGACGTCGTCCCTAACCCTCAAAAAGTCCAGGGATTGAAAAACAACACGCCACTGGTAATGTATATGTTCCAGCTTCCGACGTTAGGGAGCCCACAAAGGACGTACGCGCTCAGCTATGTACATGAACACGGCCCCTCGATCCGCGAAACTGGCCGCGCGATCCGAACATTCGGGCAATGCGTGCCCTCGAAACCAGCGTGGATTCGTGTACGTGTACGTCCTTCTTTCGCTGCTGAAGCTTTTCCTCCTCCCCGCAGATTTGAGCAGGAACCGACCGTCACGGCACTCCTATAGTCATACCACGATATTTTCTTAGAACCCAAAAATGTTTGAATCACAAAAACACTGTTCTCATAACAGCATACCGATGTGTTAAAACAAGACAGACTCCTAGCCAGAAATGTTCTAAGAACATTTCGTGGAGACCACAAACGGTTATAAGAACATTGTTTGGTGGGGCTATAGGCGAGCCAGGACGCGTCGCCACTGCTCGAGTGTACGTCCTTCTTTCGCTTCTGAGACTTTTCCTCTCCCCCCGCAGACGCAACATCTGAAGGGGCCCCAGGACACACAAAAAACACACACAAATAAAAATCCCCACATTGTCTCATATGTTATGGGTTTTTGTCTTCCCCCCCACTCCCCATATTTACCTATCTTTTCCTGGGGATCGACGATGACGTGTGTCTGTGTATATGTATTTTCCCTCCTGCAACATCATCGTGCTCGTGACCCTTGGCGCGCGCGCTCGCGCGGAGGCACTTCCATCTGCCGCCCGGCCCGGGGAGCAGCGCAGGCGCGCGCGCGCAAGGCGGGCGGGCGGGGGGCCCGGCGCGCCCTGCTGGGAGCCGGCGGCGAAGGAGGAGGAGGAGGAAGAGGAGGAGGCGGAGGAGGAGGAAGAGGAGGAGGCGCAGGAGGAGAAGGAGGAGGAGGAGGAAGAGGAGGAGGAGGAAGAGGAGGAGGAGGCGGAGGAGGAGGAGCAGGGCGGAGGAGGAGGAGGAGGAGGAGGAGACGAGGAGGAGGAGGCGGAGGAGGAGGAGCAGCAGGCGGAGGAGAGGAGGAGGAGGAGGAGGATGGTGAGGAGGGGGAGGAGAAGGAGGAGGAGGAGGAGGAGGAGGAGAGAGGAGGCCCGCACCTCTTCGGCGGCGGACCAACCTCCCTTTCTGATGGGCGTGTTTTTCCACCACCACCACGCAAGTTGGAGGGGGGGTCCTCCTCCTCCTCCTCTTCCTCCTCCTCCTCCTCCTCCTCGTCCTCGTCCTCGTCCTCCTCCTCCTCCTCCTCCTCCTCCTCCTCCACAATTACTCAATATGAATACTACTCTCCCTCTTCCATTGATGACGTTTTGGGAGTAGCCGCCTCCACCCCGCGTACTGTTTTTTTACACAGGTTTCCCGGGAGTTGGGTTTTGGCCTGCATTTGTTTCCAAAATGCTGCTCTCGCTGCGGCGCCGGCCTCATTTTCGGGCCCCGCTCGTTCCGAATCGTGCTCCCGCTGCAGCGTGGGTCTCATTTTCGGATCGGTGTTTTGCCTCCGTCGTTCAGGATGGCGTTCTCGCCCCAGCGCGGGCCTCTTTCTCGCGCGCCCATCCGCCCGCCACCACCGCACCGCGCCCCGCCCCGCCCACCGCCACTTCCACCCACCAACGCACGCACGCACGCACGCACGCGCACCGCCACCACCACCCCACTACCCCACCCACCACCACCACGCTACACCGCGTCACACCACATCACACGCGCGCGCACACAGACACACACGCACGCACGCACGCACGCACGCACGCACGCACGCACGCACGCACACACACACGCACACACACACACACACACACACGCACACACACACACACACACACACACACACACACACCACCACCACCACCGCCACCACCACCACCGCCATCACGCACGCACGCACCTGGCCCACCACCAAACCACCAAGACGCCACACCACGTCACACCACAGCACACGCGCACACACGCACACACACACACACACACACCACCACCACCACCACCACCACCACCACCACCACCACCACAACCACAACCACAACCACGCACACACGCACGCACGCACGCACCACCACCACCCACTACGCACGCGCGCGCGGAGCCACAGGTCCGCTACGACACGCGTCCGCGGATAGAGAAATTCAGCGCCATGGTAAGGGATGGGAGGGAGGGGTAGGACGTCAGATATGACGCGAGCGCACATAGCTTGTCCCCCTCCCCCTCCTCCTCCTCCTCCTCCTCCTCCTCCTCCTCCTCCTCCTCTTCCTCCTCCTCCTCCTCCTCTTCCTCTTCCTCTTCCTCCTCCTCCCCTCCAAGTTATGGTGGTGGTGGTGGAAACCAGGCTCATCACTTTAGCAAAGCTCCCCTTCGTGAGAACGGCCCAGGACCGAAGCCGGCGGGCCTGGACCCGCAGAAATGACGGCCGCTGCGCCCTCTCGCGAACCGAGAACGGCCCATTCCTTGATCGACGTGTCAGGGTAGGAGGTCTGTCCACCCCCGAGGTAAGGATGCAGGGGCCCTGAAGGGCCATGGTGAGCGAGGCGCGGCCAGCGAGAGCGGCCGAGGATGGGCCGAAGGCGAAGGATGCAAGGGCAACCATGGAAAATCGCTCATCCTTACTATGCGGGTTGACTATATAAAGGAGCAAACAAAGTCGTAAGCATAAGCTTTCGGAGCTCCAAGAGAACTCATCTAGCACTGGGAATAAGCGGCGTCGTTGAAAAGAAGCTTCCGAAGCAAACAACGTCGTAAACATGGGTGCCAGAGGGCCAAGCGCGCCAAGCGCCGATTCAAGAAATCCGCACGGAGCTCCGAAAAATTATGTTCATGCCCTCATGCGGATTCTCGGATTCGAAGCCAAGCAGAGCGCACTGAAGCAAGAAAGCAGACCAATGCGTGAACACAGCTCAAAGGCGGCCGGGCAGCAGCAGAACAAGGACAGAAGCGCCGATCGCCGAACCCGTCTCCCGAACGCCACCCCCCGTCCGCCTCCTCCCGCCTCCCTCCGCTTGGACGCCCAAATCATCCGGGATCACTGCTCTCCCGGGGTGTGTTCTGACCAGGAGTTCGAAGCGAATCCAGCGGTGGCGACGACGGAGGCCCAGGAGGCCCCAAGAAGGGGGAAAACGAGGGGAGGGCAGAGGTATGGGTATCTTTTCCTCCTCTGAGGAGCCGGGCTCGCGCGCGGGGAGGCCGGCCGGGACACCTTCAGCGCCGGCCCAGTGCCAAACCCAGAGATCCGACGTCGTGATTTTTTCAATGCGGGGTCCCCGGAAGTCTCAACCCCTTGCCCAGCACCGAATTTGCATCCCGCGTCGTCTCTTGACGGTCCTGGGGCCCGGCGAGGGCCCCTCGAGGCCGAAAAATACGAAACACCTCCGTCTTGACTTTTTCAATGCGTTGGCTCTCTGGGATGCCACCCGGGCACGCCACGCAGCCCCCGGGCGCCCTCCCCCCGCACGCCGCAGGGCGTCGGCCGCGCCGCACGCGTGGAGGCGGCCTGGGGGGCACGGCCCGCCGCCCGCCCAGGGCGGGGCGGCGCGCGCTGCTTTTTGTTGCCGGAGGCGCGGCGCTGGAAAACGACGGTCGGGCGGGCGAGCGGCGGGCGGCGGGGAACGGCAGGGGGGGGCCGGCGAAACAGGGCTGGGCCCAAACGCTGCTTCTCCTCCTGTGGTTTTCGTTTTTGTTGAGGGACCGAACAATGACATAAACATAATTCGCCGGCCCAACGGGCCAGAGGCGTGCTAAGATCTCCGGTAACCACCCTGGGCCAATCCCCCCTTGTCGTTACCACTGAGGGGTCAGAGCTCCTCGTGGGGCAGGATGGTCGAGACGCTCTCCTCGGAGCGCGCGCGCGCGGGACCCATCGCCGCCGCAGGACCCGGATCGCCGCCGCCGCGGACGGCGCCCGAGAGGGTCCAGGATCGAGGAACGAGGGTCCATTGGATCGGAAATCTCAAAACTCTGGCGAGCGTACCTTGCCAATATGTTCCTCGATGTCGGCCCCTGGGCCCCACGATCGGGCCCCAACAAGACCGTCCGAAACAGATCCCCGGCGGAAAGCTGCCCCCCAGGGGAGCGGTCGGGACCTCCTTGGGGCCGCGGGCTGAACGAACAGGTCGGCGGATGTCAGGGTTCTGGCTGGCGAACCTGGCCCATGCTGGGCCTCCGAAGGGACTCTGGGGACCCCCTGGGCGGGGGGAACCGCTGGAGCGGGCGGTCGTCCTCCGCCTCCTCCTCCTCCTCCTCCTCCTCCTCCTCCTCCTCCTCCTCCTCCTCCTCCTCCTCCTCCTCCTCCTCCTCCTCCTCCTCCTCCTCCTCCTCCTCCTCCTCCTCCTCCTCCTCCGTCGCTGGAGATCGTCGTCGACGTCTGGTCGTCGACGTCGTCCGGGCCCGAGACTCGAGGCCCGAGGGCCCAGACTCGAGGCTCTGGGACTCTGGGACGTCTGGTGCCCGCGCTGGGTCGTCGTCGTCGTCGTCGTCGTCGTCGTCGTCGTCGTCGTCGTCGTCGTCGTCGTCGGCGTCGTCGGCGTCGGCGTCGGCGTCGGCGTCGGCGTCGGCGTCGGCGTCGGCGTCGGCGGCGGCGGCGGCGGCGGCGGCGGCGGCGGCGTCGGCGGTCGCCGCCGCCGTCCTCCGCGAGCGCACCCAGCATGGCCTCCGAGCAGGCGCTCGGGTGCACGACCTCGGGGGGGGGGGCAGGAGCGGGGAGCGGGTGGCTGGCAAAAAAAGCCTGACGGCGGCGGGGCTTCGGGCCCCGGGGTCGCCCCCGGGCCTCTCCTACAGGGCAATTTCTGATACATAGGATTCTTAAGGTATAGGATTTTTAATACATGACTAACTTATGGGTAAAAGTATGCATGACTCCTCGTTGTTTTCAACTACATCCCTGCATTTTTAATACCTGATCCGCACGCGGAGCATGTATTAAAAAACGGCACTGTACGGCGACCATCTGGTCGGAAGCAGAGGATGGAAACGTATGTGGCCGTGCGCGACAAGGATGCGAGGGCCTTGGACGCCCAGTCCGAAGCTTTCTCGAGCGGGGCGCGGCCAACGAAAGTGGCGAAGGATGGACCGAGGAGACGAGGATGCAGGGGTGCCCTGGGGAAGGTTGCCCATCCTTCCTGTCCTGGTTGACCGTGCCCTGGGCCCAAAAACGTTTCCCATCCCTCGGGAGAGCGCAGGCTTCACTTTCGCCACCTTCCGCCGACCTTCCGTCGAATTTCAGACTGAGTCTCGTCATTTTGATGATTGCCCCGTCAGGCCAACCCGAGTCCCCCGATCCCGAGTCCCACATCTCCCCGAACCGATCTCGCAACGCAGCGCTCGCTCAAAGTACGCACTTCTGGAGATCCAGGCCCCAGTCTACTTTCGGCGCCCTCCTGCTTCAAGAGTCTGGCGGTTCTCCCCTCTTCCGCCGCCCTTTTCCGCCGAGGAGGGGACGACGACGCCTTCCACCCTCGGGGGCAGGGGGCCCCTCCCGGAGGGCCCCATGTGGCAGCTCCTGGAGACCCTCCCGCGGCAACTCCCTGGCCATAGCTCGGACGTCCATTCCCAGTGTTTTTTTCGGTTTCGTGCGCGGATTTTTCGCCAAATGATCAAGGATGTTCTTCGATGGTCCTCGCCGAGGGAAAAATGCATACGTCCGAGCGATACCAAGCTCCAGGCCCAGCTGACGTCGGATCCGTGTCGGGCTTGCGTCGGAGCATCGCCGCGCGAACGCCGCCTCACATCTGAGGGGTCGGACGTGTGGACGAGATGATAATCCACCGACCCCGTCGGCGTGTGTGAGGGGCTTCTCCATGCTCGTCGTCGTCGTCGATGTCGGGCTCCTTGCCCTCCAGACGCCTCGGCTTCCCCCTGCAGGGTTTTCGTCCCCGGCCGCGAGGCCTTCCCAATGCAGCGATTGCGCGCCGCGCGAGGCATGCAGGATCTTCCTCAGAGAGAAACGCACGGAGTCCCAAGCCTGGTCGCGTCGTGACAATAATCACGACGGGCAATCCTCGGCTCTTCCCAGGCTCTGGGGGCCCTCGCGCGAGGCCTCGGGACCGTCCAACAACGAATCGGGGATCTTCTGAACCAGGTCAATCCAGACCCAGGTCAGTCAAGCCATGCAGAATCCTGCAAGATCCTGCAAGATCCTGCACCCAAACCCGGGTCAATACGAAGGACCCTGCAAGATCCTGCAGGATCCTGCACCCAAGCCTGGGCCAATGCGACCCTGACCCCGCAGGATCCTGCGCAAGATCGGGCGCTCTGGCTGACCCCCGTTTGCACCGACCCCCGCGCCGGTCCCGGGAAAAAAGAGTGGGCACTTCAGGGGACCGCGTAAATCAAGAGGGGAAAAAAAAACACAGACACAATGAATCGTCGATTCCCTTGAAAATTAGGAAAATATGGGAAGTGGGGGGGAAGACAGAAACCCAGAAAATATAGGAAAATATTGGGAATATTGTTATTTGTGTGTATTTATTTGTGTGTCCTGGGGCCCCTTCAGTAGAGACAGAAGATTAGGCATCGCTTGTCTGGGGTCCAAGAAGACACGGTGGAAGTGGATAGGGCCTCCGCTCGCCCCCTGAAGAGGAAGGAAGAGGCACGCCCGCTCGACCGCCTGAAGTAGGAAGGCGCCGAGAGCAGAGCGCGGGGCCTGGGAGTGCCTACCTTCCTCCACCGATGGGTGAGCAGTTCGGCGTCCGCCGCGACGGCAGAACTCTCCCCTTCCGAGGTCTCACCGCGACAGGTCTCTAGATCCCCCCAGCAATGGAAGCAAATCCTTTGTTCGGCGGCCTGACTGACGGACTGGGGCCCAACCAGTAGCGGAAAATAATTCTTCGCCCGCGGCTACGATAGCGACTACGACTACGACGACGACTACTACTCCTACTTATGCTTCAGGAGCGCTCTCACGGAAAATCCGAGCCCAGAAACTCGATCCTCAGAAATTGTGTCCTCAGAAGCTCCATCCTCAGAAGGACTGTTGAAGCTCAGGCCCTACGAAGGCCCTCAGAAACTGCTTCCTCAGAACCTCCATCCTTGGAAGGATTGTTGAAGGAGGAGGAGGAACAGGATGAGGAGGAAGAGAAGGGACGAGCTTCACTCCCCGCCGAGAGGAGGAAGGGGGGGAGCAAGACTGAATACCTGTAGAGGTCACTACCTGTTGCGGAGCTGCTCGAGTGCCCTCTCGGGGCCTCCTCTTGAGCTCAAAAGCTGTGAAACCTACCACTGCAGGTCAAACTTTCGAAATACCAGAAGGGGGTCAGAATCTCGAAGACGCCTGCAGCCGCCAAGCGGGGCCCCACATGGGTGTGCGATACCCCCGAGATCCGACGTTGCGAACAAAGTTGCAACATCTTGAAAACTTGCGACTGGAGCCCTGGACCCCATCTTTCCGCGTCATTTTTCCGGCCGGATCGATATTTGAGGGTCTCAGTGCCCGAACCTGGGCGAGAACGCCTGTTGTAAACAAATTGCGACGCCCAGAATTGAGGGACCACGGGGCCGGGTCGGACTCGACGTGGCGACAGCCGCCAGAGGCTGCAGATCACGATCCCACCCCCCGCGAGACGGGTCTTTTCGGAGCCCCGCAGCGGTGACGTGACAGACCGTGCGGTGACCTCGACATCCCCCAAGACCTCACAGCACGGTCCGTCAACCCACGGTTTTGGGACCCTGGATGCCCCAGTCGCTCGAGACGTCCTCGGAGAACGGCCCGAGTCCCAAAACCGTGCGGTGACCCCGAGTCCCCACCGTCTCACCGCACGGTGTGGTCACCACCCCACTTGGGGGCCCCCGAGTCTTGAAACCCCGGGTTCTGGCCATCGCTCAGACGTCCACTCCCTGTGCTCTTTTCGGCTTCGTGCGTGGCTTCTTCGCCAAATGATCGAGGATGCTCCTCGATGGTCCTCGCCGAAAGGAAAAAATGCACACGTCCGAGCGATGCCGAGAGCACGGACAGAAAGGCAGCCGCCCGAGAACGGTGCCCACGAAGGCGTGGCGCGAAGGGCAGGGGCTTCTCCGAGAGGGGCGGCGGGGCTGACGCGGAGGCCGGGCGGCTTCTCAGAAGCCGGCCCGGCTTGTGAGGAGGCTTAAGAATACCGTCGGGGCGTTGACCTAGGGAACCCCAAATAAGGAACGAGGCCCCTTGTTTCCAGAAGTTGACCTTCGATTTCCTGCCGAAAACATAAGGAAAGCCTGAGGCAAGCTGTGAAACACTTCAGGAACGCGGAGCCCCTCCCCAACGAAAAGGGTTCCTTCTTCAGGGCCCCGACTGTAGAGAGAGAGAGCAGAAAATCCACCCCCATAAGAAGCACCCCGACAAGCGAAGCAGTCCAGCAAACGAACCCAAGGAAGGGCTCAGAAGCTGGCCCAGCTTCTGATGAGGTCTGAGAATAGGTCGGGCATGTGTCCCCCTACAGGCGGATTTTTGGCGAAAAATTGAAAATACCCCAAACAATACCAAACAAATGCTCAAACATGATTTTTGAAAATCGTCCCCAAACTATTCTTTTACTAATTTGGAATATTCCCCCTGTAGAGGGACAGGCCCAATTTAAGTTTAAAAATCAAGAGCAGAAAATCCACCCCCATAAGAAGCAACCCGACCGACAAGCGAAGCAGTCCAGCAAACGCACCCAAGGAAGGACTCGAACAGAGCAGGGCTGCTTTCGAAGCGCCCAGGGCCGTTTCGTAAACGCCAATTGTCGTGGTCGGGGTGGTTTTTTCCCGCCTTGAAAGAAGGCCCCTGGCCTTCTAAGAACCACCTCCGCCTTCTCAGAAGCCCGGCCCCTCGCGCCAGACACCCTCGTGGGCGCCGCCTGGGCGGGGGGGGGCTGTGTTCTCCTGCTTCTCCCGGGGCCTCCGCCTTGTAGACGCACTGCGAGGGCTCGGTGATCTCTAGGATCTCCGGCTCCGCTCCGCAGCTGAGCCTTGCCTCGAGAGTCCTCGCGGGGCCCTGCCAGCACACGTCCCCGTCCGAGAACTTGATGGCGCCCGCACCGCCGGCGGCGGAGCCGTCCCAGCTCTCGAAGGTGCCCAGCCTGGTGGTCCCCTGCTTCGCCTGGCCGGAGAAGCAGATCTTGTACAGATACTTGTCGAGATACTTCTCGACGCAGGTGTCCTGGGGGCAAGAAGATCGGGCGACGTCCAGCGACCACCTCCCCGAGCCAGGCCGATCCTGGGCCCAGGACAGGGGGCAGACGCCGCGCACAAGGGGGCGGGCGGGTGGGGGTCCGGAGAGCCGGCCAGGAAAGAGAGACGCGCGCGGCCCTGCGATCGTTCCGCCTGCGGGCGGGAGATTGCTGTGGGCCGCCTGCGCGCGAAGGCCTCCCCGACGGGCTCCGAGCAGATGGGCTCGGAGGCTCGCGCCGCACCGCCAGTGCATCGGCGATGCATCGGCGATGCATCGGCGGTGCATCGGCGATGCATCGGCGACGCCAGCGATGCATCGACGACGTCGGTGGGGAAAATCGGACCCCACATCGAGCCGCATCGCCGATGCATCGGCGATGCATCGGCGATGCGGCGCGATCCTCCGACCCCATCTGCTCGGACCCCATCTGGGAGGCCCAGAGTCGTCTGCGCGTGTCCATCAGGCGGGTGGAACCAAATGGCAATGATGCCCCTACTTTCCATACCTCTCTCCCTGCATGCAATCTGACCAGAATCCCACCAGCCCTCTGGGCGTTGGTGGTCTAGCGCGTTTACTCTTCCACCTCCCTTCTTCCCTTCTGGGGAGGGGTTTATCACTGTTCCCTATTAATTCGCCGGCCCAGCGGGCCAGAGGCGTGCTAAGATCTCCGGTAACTGGTTCACAATATTTCTAGTTCGCGCGCGCGGGGCGGCCCTTGGGGGTCCCCGGACGAAAAGTACCCCGGCAAGGTCCTGGGAGGAGCCACCAGAGCACTTCAGGGGAGGGCCATTTGTCGACACCCCTCACGAGAATCGAGGCCTCCGAGGGGGGAGCCGCAATCGACTACCCCCCCTCCCGCCCGAAGAGGCCTCCAAGAGCCCCCCAAGAGGCCCTGGGGGCCCCCAAGAAGCCGCCAAGGAGCCCTAAGACACTCCCAAGAGGGCCCCAAGAAGCAACAATTATTGTTTTTCAAGACGGCCCAGGAGGCCCCCAAGATCGCCCTAAGAGGACCGAGAGGCCTCCGACGGGGCCCCAAGACGGCCCAAGAGGGGTCCAAGAAGGCTTCCAAGAGGCCTCCAAGACGGCCCAAGAGGGCCCCAAGAACGCTCTCAGAGAAGCCCCAGAGGGGGAACACGAAACAACGTTTCGAGCCCTCGGCCCCAAGAAGCCCCCAGGAGGCGCCAAGAGGCCCCTCTCAAGCCCCAGGAGGCCCCCCAAAGGCCTTCGAGATAGCCCCCAGACGCCCGACGAGGGGGCCCCAAGAGGCACAATTCACTGGTTTTCCCCAAGCAGCTTGCTGAACGGGGTGCAGGGAAAGGGGAGCAGAGACATCCTTACAAAAATCGGATGATCCGGGCCGTTTCGCCTGAGAGATCCTCAAAAAGTTGCGCTCCAGGACGCCGCGCGAGAGGTGGTCCGGGCCGTTTCGCCTGAGACTTCCTCGAAACTCTGAGCCCCGAGGTGCCGTGCGAGAGGTGGTCCGGCCCGCTTCGTCTGAGACATCCTCGCAATTCCAGGCTCCGAGATGACGCTTGCGAGGTGGTTCGGCCCGTGTCGCCTGAGACACCCTCGAAACTCTGAGCCCCGAGATGCCGTGCGAGAGGTGGTCCGGCCCGTTTCGCCTGAGACATCCTGGCAACTCTGGGCTCCGAGATGCTACTTGCGAGGTGGTCCAGCCCGTTTCGCCTGAGACATCCTTGCAACTCTGAGCTGAGATGCCCTGCGCGAGGTGGTCCGGCCCGTCTCGCCTGAGACATCCTCGCCACTCTGAGCTCTGAGATGCCGTGCGCAAGGTGGTCCGACCCGTTTCGCACAAGACATTCTCGCAACTCTGAGCTCCCAGATGCCGCGCAAGAGGTGGTCCAGCCTGGGGGCCCAGAAGAACATATCTTACATATCCCCCCTGGCACCCTGGGAGCCCCAGAAGGCCCCAGAGAGCTTCAGGAGGCCGCAGGACGCCTGGGACAGGCTCCAGGGTCCGAGATGCCGCGCGCGAGGTGGTCCAGCCCGTTACGCTGGAGACATCCTCGCAACTCTGGGTTCCGAGATGCCCTGCGCGAGGTGGTCCCGTTTCGCCTGAGACATCCTCGCAACTCTGAGCTCTGAGATGCCGTGCGCAAGGTGGTCCGACCCGTTTCGGATAAGACATTCTCGCAACTCTGACTGAGCTACCAGATGCCGCGCAAGAGGTGGTCCAGCCTGGGGGCCAAGAAGACCACGTGTTACACATCCCCCCTGGGAGCCCCAGGAGGCCCCCGAGAGCTTCAGGAGGCCGCAGGACGCCTGGGACAGGCCCCAGGGGTCCCCAGGACATTCCCAGGAGGCTCCCAGGAGGCCCCAGGAGGCCCCCATATCAGCACGTGTCAAGTATATACACATCCGGTGCCGATTCGTTGAGTTCTCCTGATCTTGTGGCCCCCCCCACTTTGGGAGGCCCCGACGGCCACATGTTAGATGTCCCCCCTGGGAGCCCCAAGAGGCTTCAAGAAGCCCCAGGTGGGGTCCAGGAGGCCACAGGAGGCCCCCGCAACTCGGAGCTCTGAGACGCCGCGCTCGTGGTGATCTGGCCCGTTTCGCCTGAGACTTCCTTGCAGCACGTTTCGCAAAAGACATCGTCGCAACTCTCGGGTCCGAGATGCCGCGCGCGAGATGATCCAGCCCGTTACGCTGGAGACATCCTCGCAACTCTGGGCTCCGAGATGCCGTTCGGGATGAAGAGGAGATGGGGGAGGACGAGGACGAGGAGGAGGAGGCATGTTCTAACGTGCCATGCTAGCCGGTACTGGACGGGCGCGCAATCGACCTTGGAAACCGCAGTGGGTTCAAAAACCCTGTTTGGGGAGACTGAACTCAGGCTTTAATTCCTTAGGTTTTGAAGAGATTTGGGCGTCTCCACCTTTTCGGCATCGCGACGCCCCAAGACGGCCCAAGAGGCCCCCAAGATCGCCCTAAGAGGACCCCAAGACGGCCCAGGAGGGTTCCAAGACGGCCTCCAAGAGGCCTCCAAGACGGCCCAAGAGGGCCCCAAGAACGCTCTCAGAGAAGCCCCAGAGGGGGAACACGAAACAACGTTTCGAGCCCTCGGCCCTAAGAAGCCCCCAGGAGGCGCCAAGAGGCCCCTTTCAAGCCCCAGGAGGCCCCCAAAAGGCCTTCGAGATAGCCCCCAGACGCCCGACGAGGCTTTCAAGAGCACTCCCAAGAGGGGCCCAAGAGGCATAATTCATCGTTTGTCCTGAGGTTTGGGGGAGATTTGGGCGTCTCCACCTTTTCGGCATCGCGACGCCCCAAGACGGCCCAAGAGGCCTCCAAGATCGCCCTAAGAGGCCCGAGAGGCCTCCGACGGGGCCCCAAGACGGCCCAAGAGGGTTCCAAGAAGGCCTCCAAGAGGCCTCCAAGACGGCCCAAGAGGGCCCCAAGAACGCTCTAAGAGAAGCCCCAGAGGGGGAGCACGAAACAACATTTCGAGCCCTCGGCCCTAAGAAGTCCCCAGGAGGCGCCAAGACGCCCCCAGGAGGCCCCCTAAAGGCCCTCACGAGGCCCCCAAGAAGCTCCCAAGCGGCTCCCAAGCGGCTCCCAGAAGCCCCAAGATGCTCCCAAATGCTCCCAAAGGAGCTCCAAGAAACCCCAAAGAGGCTCCAACAGAAACCCAAGAGGCCCCCAAGAAACCCCCAACGAGGACCCCAAAAGGCCCCCAAAAGCCCAAACGCCAGCGAGGGCACAATACGGGCCGGCGGAATGAGCGAATCGATTAAATAGACAGCCCCTCTCCCAGGCGACTAGTAACCAACCAGGAACCATGAGGGCACCCCCGACCATCCCTTTAAAAAAACCATGCAAACACAGACTCTGCCTCCAAATCCGGAGCATGCGCAGACAACCCGATGCGGCCTCCCCACACCGTCCCTGTCAAATTACCCTGGCGACGTACCCAACCCCTGCGCAAACGCGGGGCGCAAATAGTTTAGGACACTTTATAAGGGGGGCGATGACGGAGCGAGGGTTACATATGTCTGCAGACGGAATTCGGGAGACTCGCAGGACACTGGCTACAGGACAAGGACTAGATAAAGCTGATTAGTTACAATCCCTGAGCAACCCTAGTCACTTCGAACGCGGGGATCTCAGATCGCACCCCCCCAGGGATGGCGAGGTCGAATTTGGGTCCGCGCGTGGCGTCACTGTGCTGGGCCCCCCAGCAGGCCTCGAAAGTGGCGACAGTTTCACAGATCGCAGCCCCCCAGGGATGGCGAGGTCTAATTTGGGTCCGCCCGTGGCGTCACTGTGCTGGGCCCCCCAGCAGGCCTCGAAAGTGGCGACAGTTTCACAGATCGCAGCCCCCCAGGGATGGCGAGGTCTAATTTGGGTCCGCGCGTGGCGTCACTGTGCTGGGCCCCCCAGCAGGCCTCGAAAGTGGCGACAGTTTCACAGATCGCAGCCCCCCAGGGATGGCGAGGTCTAATTTGGGTCCGCCCGTGGCGTCACTGTGCTGGGCCCCCCAGCAGGCCTCGAAAGTGGCGACAGTTTCACAGATCGCAGCCCCCCAGGGATGGCGAGGTCTAATTTGGGTCCGCCCGTGGCGTCACTGTGCTGGGCCCCCCAGCAGGCCTCGAAAGTGGCGACAGTTTCACAGATCGCAGCCCCCCAGGGATGGCGAGGTCTAATTTGGGTCCGCCCGTGGCGTCACTGTGCTGGGCCCCCCAGCAGGCCTCGAAAGTGGCGACAGTTTCACAGATCGCAGCCCCCCAGGGATGGCGAGGTCTAATTTGGGTCCGCCCGTGGCGTCACTGTGCTGGGCCCCCCAGCAGGCCTCGAAAGTGGCGACAGTTTCACAGATCGCAGCCCCCCAGGGATGGCGAGGTCTAATTTGGGTCCGCCCGTGGCGTCACTGTGCTGGGCCCCCCAGCAGGCCTCGAAAGTGGCGACAGTTTCACTGATCGCAGCCCCCCACAGGCAAGACAGGAGGAGGCAAGAGGGAGGCGGGACGGGAGGCAGGAGGGAGGAAAGGAGGAAGTGGAGACCACACTGCTCTATTCAAAGCGAATACCCAACCAAGGAGGGTTGGGAAAAACAATACTGAGTACACTTGGCGGCGGCGGCGGCTGCGGCGGCTGCGGCGGCGGCGGCTGCAGCGGCTGCGGCGGCGGCGGCAGCGGCGGCGGCGGCGGCGATTTGGCAGCGGGGGCGGCGGCGGCGGCGGCGGCGGCTTGGCCCCTAGTAGCTGCCCATCCAAAGACGACTGCTGAATATGCTGAGGCTCGGGCCAGACTCGGGTGCTACGTATGTCTTGGGAGGGCGGGTGGGAGTGAGCGAGACGGCTTGCGGGCGGGGAGGGAGTCTTGACCCCTCCCCCTACCCCCTCCCCTGAACCTGGACGGGGCGCCCCGCGAGCGGTCTGGGCGTCCAAGATAGCCCAAGATGGCCCTAAGAGGGCTTCAGAGAGCCCAAGATGAGCTCCAAGATGGCTCAAGATAGCGCAAGATGCCTCGAGGTGGCTCCCAAGATGCTCCAAGACGCCCCAAGACTGCTCCAAGACGGCTCTAAGATGCCAAAAGAGCTCCCCAAGGATGCCCCCAAGAGGCCAAAATCATTCCACAACCTCTAGGAAATCAATGTTTTTTGCTTTCTCGCCTTCTCGCTTCCAATGGCCATTCGAGGCCTTAAGATAGCTCCAAGATGGCCCAAGAGAGCCCTGAGAGGGGCCCAAGGGAGCCCCAAGACGGCCCCAAGAGCGCCCAAAAGCGCTCCAAAAGCGGCCCAAGAACGCTCAAAAAGGCGACTTGGGGGGCTCCCGAGAGGCGATGCTAATTCGGGGCCTTCTTTGAACCTTTTCGCTTCCGATGGCCATCCGAGGCCTCAAGATGGCTCCAAGATGGCCCAAGAGGGCTCCAAGAGCGCTCCCAAGGCTCCCAAGAGCGCTTCAGGAGGGCCCCAAGAGGCGCCCAGGAGGCCCCAGGAGGCCCCAACAGGCGCCCAAGAGGCCTCCAAGAGGAGGCTCCCAAGAGACCCCCAAGACGCTCCAAGAGGCCTCTACTGGGGGACCCTTCCTCTGCGTGCTGCCCACTTCCCTGATCGAGGCAATTCCTCTGGGCATCGTTTCTGGATGGGCTGATGGGGTTACGCAAAGCGTCTAGCATTTCGAGGCGAATCCAGCGGTGGCGACGAGGGTCTCCCAGGAGGCCCAGACAGGAGAAAGAAAAGGGCGAAGGGCAGTTGCACGGGTGCCTCTCCCTCCTCTGACGGACTGCGGGCGGTTTTTTTCTGTTGGCCGACCCCGCGCGTCCATCAGCGGGTGGAACCGGGCGTCGTTGTCGTCTACGAGCTGCAGCTTGTCCTCGCGGGGCGCCGGCGCAGCAGGCCGGCACACACCGGTCCTGGCAGGGCCTGCGCTGGGCCCACGGAGGTCGGTGCACAGCGAGTGGGGCGAAGGCAAAAACTCGTCACGAGGGGCCCAGGGGGAGGTTGGAAGGGGCCCAGGGGCACACCAAGAAGTACACACAAATCCAAGGATTCCCCATATTTTCACACATGTTCTGGGTTTCTGTCTTCCCCCCCCACTTCCCGTATGTTCGCATATTTTCCTGGGAATCGGCGATTCAGTATGTCTATGCTTTCTTCCCTCCTGAATGTTTCGTGGCAACCCATGGGAGCCTCCCATACCATCTTGTCGGCTCTTGCGAATCGACGCTAATCGACGCTACATCGACGCTAATCGACGCTAGCCGACGCTAAATCGGCGCTGCTGCCTCGTCGACTCCCAGACGCTAATCGACGCTAGTCGACGCTAGAGACAGAATTAGGAGGGTATAGCAGGCTCCGATGATTTGCTACCGAACAGAATCGCCACGAGGGGCCATTGGGATGCAGGGCGCCTAGTCAGAATGCGCCACGATGCCAGGGCACCCTTGGACCAGGAAAACTGAAAACATCCGAGAACGTGCCTACGGCGCCCGAAGCGAAGAATCCCCAGACATCCGGCGCCTCGACTTTCGTTGATGCGTGGGCCCCCAGCGGTCTGGATCCGCTCCCTGGGAAGAATTTGTCTCAGCTCGCTGTCTGGCGGCCCCGGGACCCACAACCCTGAGATCCTGGCGCCTCACCTGTTTCGAGCCGGGCGCTTTCGCCCAGCTTCGGGCCCTGGGACCCTCACAGATCGATCCGGCTCGAAGAGTGGCGCAGAAAGGTGGTGTCCCAGAGATCCGATGATGTGATTTTTTCACTGCGGGGTCCCCGGAAGTCTCGACCCCTTCCCCAGGACCTGTTTTGCATCCTGAGTCGTTTTTTGACAGTCCTGGGGCCCGGCGAGGGCCCCTCGAGGCCGAAAAATACGAAACACCTCCGTCTGGATTGTTTCAATACGTTGGATCTCTGGGGTGAAAGGGCTCCGGGCGTGAACTTCTCCGATGCGGCAAGCGTTTCCCGCTGCGTCGGATCTCAGGGCACGGGCCTCCAGATGCCAGAAGCGAGGCAGACAAGAGCGGGTTTACGTCGGGCGTGTCCCCCTACAGGGGGATTTTGGGCGAAAAATCAAAGATACTCAAAAAATACCCTCCAAATACTAACAAATAATCAGAAAAAACCCGACTATGTTTTGACTATTTTTGAATATCCTGCAAAAAAGGTGAATCACAAGAGATCTTGATTGTCGAGGTGCAAGAGCCCATGTCGATTTCGCCCTGAGCCCTCCACCCTAAGAAGATGCTCAGCTTCTGGGGGCCTTTTCCTGGAGGCCTCCCGCTCCGCCCGCGCGCCGAAGCTGCGTCGAGCGAGCGCCGATCGGAGCGTCGACCTCGGCTCGAGCCCGAGGCGAACCGGAGTCGAGCTCGAATCGAACCCGAGTCGAACTTTTTGGACGCCCGAAATGGGTACGGAAAGAACGGGCACAATGCCCAACAGCACGTGCTGTCCCTAACCAACAGCGGCCGCTGTTGGGCAGGCGGCCTTCTGCCTCAAATGGACACAGGCCGCGGCGGCGTGGACAGCGAGTCCTGTGCAAAATGAACAAAATCCGCTATTGGGCATCGTACCCATTCTTTCCGTGCCCATTTCGTTCGTGCAGAAACTTGAGCCGAGCTGGGGTCGAAGTGAAATCGAACAGATCGGTGTGGTGGGCCCCAGCGAGGTCCCTCAAGCGAGTCAGGGGAACAAAAAACTACGTAAACATAGAAACTCGGAGGTCCGCGCGGATGTCTCGGATCGGCGCTGGGGGCCCCCCGGCGGCGCCTCCGGCGCCGCCCCTGGCGCGCTCCGCGCGCCAGGGAGGGGGATCCAGCGCCGATCCGAGAAATCCGCGCGGACCTCCAAGTTTTTATGCTTATGCCACTTTTTGTTCCCCTGTGAATCGAACTGGAGTCGAACCCTAGTCAAACCTGAGCCGAGCTGGGGTCGACCTGGAATCGAGCAGATCGGTGTGGTGGGCCCCAGCGAGGCTCCCCAAACGAGCGTCTAGTGTCCAGCCAGCCCGCACGAGGAGGACGCGCGACGAGGACGCAGGGCCCCGGAAGGCCATGCCGGCACTCTGCGGGCGGGCAGCGGCCAGCGGAAGCGGCCAAGGCTGGGCCACAGCGGAAGGATGCCATGGGCAACCTCGGCGGGTCGCTCGCCCGGACCACTCGGGCCGACTTTGAGCAGGGACCGACCGTCCCAACATTCCGATAGGCCTGCCACGACTCGCTGCCACGACATGTTCTTAGAACCCATAAGTGTTCTAAGAACAAAAAAAAGTGCTCTTGGAACAGATGCCCGATTGCTTCAAACAAGTCAGTCTCAGCCAAATATGTTCTAAGAACATGTCGCGCAAACCTTGCAACATTCTTTGGTGGGCCTATAGGCAAGCCAGGACGCTTCCCCACTGCTTGATGACTGGAATGGGGAAACCACAAGATTACGATGCCGCCGCGCCCTGGACCTCTCCCAGGGCGCGGTCTGACCAGGATCTCGAGACGAATCCAGCCGTGGCGACGAGGGCCTCCCAGGAGGCCGAGAACGGGGCACCCGGGCAAAGCGCACCAGTGTCGGTACATCTTCCTCTCTGAAGTGTAGGGCTTACAGCAGGCGGTCTCCGACACCTCCGACGCGTTTTGCCCGCTGGCGGTTGGCGGCGCGCGCAGAGGTTGGTAGGGGTAATGCTGAAGGCTTCTTGGAAGGAGGCTGCTTCTCAGAAGGCGCCGGCCCTACATCTACAGACCAGGCCCACGCCTTCAACTTCATTAGCAGGGGTGCTTCTGAGAAGCCTTCCCCCCTCACCCTACACTTAGGTCGGGCCTGTTCCCCCTACAGGGGGATTGGTGGACGGAAAATTAAAAATACGCAAAAAGATGCCCACAAGTTACTATTTTTGAATACTCCCCCTGCAGAGGGACAGGCCCGACTTGAGGGTAGGCCCGGAGAGCCCAGAATCGAATCGATAAGTCGGATCGGCGATCGAAAAGAATCGGATCAGCGGAAATCGGCAGCCGAGTCGGGAAAAGTCGCATCGGTAGACATCGACAAGCAAGTAAGCTCCCATGGAGGAATCGGAGCCCGAATCGGGATTCGATGCCGAATCGGATCGGAACCGGAGGCCATCGACATCGAATCGAATCGAATATTCCCCCTGCAGAGGGACAGGCCGACTCAACCCTGCTCCCCCGCGCGCGAGGCCGAGTCGTGCAGATCCGACGTCGTGGCTCTCCGGAGCCGTGGGCCTCGAGATCCCTCCGGGCCCGTTCCAGGCAGGCCTAGCCTCAAGCCGGCCGCGTCCCCCTACAGAGGGGATTTTGGGCGAGCCAAATTAAAAATACTCAAAACATACTCCCCAAATGAGCAACAGTAGTTAAAAAAAACGGCCCCAGACTATTTTTTTGCTATTTTTGAAGATCCCTCCTGTAGAAGGACGGGCCCGACGTAAGCCTGGCCCGCCGCTGGCCGGGCACGGTCCCAGGGGCCAGAAGCGTTCCCTAGGGGGGGCTGACTTGAGAGGGGGACCCTTACATCCCAAAAGCTGGGGCCGTCGAGAGGCCACCGCCTCCTCCTCCTCCTCCTCCTCCTCCTCCTCCTCTTCCTCCTCCTCCTCTTCCTCCTCCTCCTCCTCCTCCTCCTCCTACCTCCTTCCTCCTCCTCCTCCTCCTCCTCTCCTGCTCCTCCTCTCCTCCTCCTCCTCCTCCTGCTCCTCCTGCTGCTCCTCTCCTCCTCCTCCTCTTCTGCTCCTCTTCCTCCTCCTCCTTTTCCTCCTCCTCTCTCCTCCTCCTCCTCCTCCTCCTCCTTTTGCTCCTCCTCCTCCTCCTCCTCCTGCTCCTCCTCCTCTTCCTCCTCCTCCTCCTCCTCCTCCTCCTCCTCCTCCTGCTCCTCCTCCTACCTCTTCCTGCTCCTCCTCCCCAATCGAATCCCATATCCTCCTTCTCGCGCGCCATGAGCACGCCGACATATTACTAAACATAAGTGCGATGTGGACATGCGGAATGAGCGAAGCGATTCAATATATATATATATATATATATATATACACACATATACATATAAAAAATGGCATGGCATTCGTCCATCTGCCAGGGAGGTCAAAGGGCGTCCTGCAGGCCCCTCTTGGAGCTCTCGGCGGACTTCACCGACTTCTCGGCCTTGCGGAGCGCGTGCTCCGCGACCTCTCTGCCGAAAGCCGCGAAACGGTGATGGCAGAACCGAAAACCGACCGAAACCGGCAGGGCGCACGCAGCCCAGAAGTGGGAACAAAGAAAGGCGACACCGACACCAACAGGGCGAGGAGGTGCGAGGAGCAAGGGGGGGTCTCCCTGGTGATGTGCCCCCCCCTCTCGCTCGAGACGTCCCAAGCCTCCAGCCCGGGGAGGCATCCTGGCCCTCCTCGCTGGAGGTGGGCCCCCTGCTGGTGTTGGTGTCGCATCTCCCCCCTCCGACTAGAATTTGGGCGCCCGACATGGATACGGAAATAATGGGTACAATGCCCAACAACAAATGTTGTCCCAAACCAACAGCGGCCGCTGTTGGGCAGGCGGCCTCCTGTCTCGAATGGACACGGGCCGCAGCGACACCGACAGCGAGCCCTGCTCAGAGTGAGCAGGAACTGCTGTTGGGCATTGTACCCTTTCTTTCCGTGCCCCTTTCGGGCGTCCAGTGGCCAGAGGTGCGCAGCGACGCAACAGGCAACTGTCCATCGCTCGGACGTCCATCCCCTGTGCTTTTTTCGATTTCGTGCGTGTTTTTTTTTTTCGCCCAATGATCTAGGATGCTCCTCGATGGCCCTCGCCGAAGGAAAAATGCACACGTCCGAGCGATGCCACGGCAACGGGGCGGCCCCCGACCGAGCCGACCCGGCGCCGAACGCCGCCGACGACGACGCCGCCGAGGCCGTCCGGGCCGCGCGCACAAAGAAAAAAAACCGGAGCCGCCGCGCGCACCCCGCACGGAAGAGGGCGGCGGGACCCCGCCACCGCGCCCGGGCGAGGGGGGGGAGCCCTGGGCCCTGGGACCCCCCCCACACACAAACACACACACACACACAAACACACACAAACACACACACACACACATACACACACACGCACGAACGCACGCACGCACGCACGCACACACACACACACACACACACACACACGCACACACACACACACATACACACACACACACACACACACGCACACACACACACACACACACACACACGCACACGCACACACACACATGAACAAAAAAAACACAGGTGGCAGGATGTCCCACAGTTTCCCAATATGGTCTAGGCTTGTGTCTTCCCCCCACCTCCCAGAGTCTCCCACATGTTCGGGGGGGAGTCGGCGATGGATCGTGTCTGTGTGCTTGCTCTTCCCCTCCTGAGGATCCTGGGCCCTGGCGCGGCGTGTGCCCAGGCGAGGACTCCACGCTGAGGTCGGGCGCGTCCCCCGACAGGCGGATTTGGGACGAAGAATAACAAATACTCAAGGAAAAATCAAAAATGGTCAAACATAGTGTTGTGGATGCCATGACAATGGACACTCTAACAATCCTATCACTGAATTAAGAATGTGTTTAAACTGTAAAACATGATCTAAGCATGCTTCAAGCATGTTGTTTTACATGTTTGAAACATGTTTGAGACATGTTTTAGACATCTGGAAATTATTTGGCAGCATGCTTCCTCTCCATTGATCGTCCTCCACAATCCTACAGGTGGAGTTGGGACGAAGAATAAACAAACAACTCAAGAACTAATCAAAAGTGGTCAAACATGGTAGCAACAAATCGTCCCCAGGCTTTTTTTCTGGACGATTTTTTCACATTCCTCCCGTGGGGGGACGAGCGCGAGTTGGAACCGCGCCGAAAATGCGCACTGTGCGAACGTGCACACTGTACGAGGCTCTGGCCTTAATGGGCCCTGGAAACGACAAGGCCGTTTTTTACCGGTTCCGTTTTGCCGCTTTTTTGCCGGTTCCGACGCCGTTTCTTTACGGTTCCGTCGCCGTTCTTTTACGGGTTCCCGCTCCGGTTCCAATCCTGGATGCCGTTTCCGGTCGCCGTTTTTGTTGCCGTTTCCATTTTCAAGGGACCCTTTTTCGGAAACGGTGACAAAAACGGCCCCGCCGAGACCGTGGCCCACTGAGGACGTGCGCGACTTGGATCCGCGCCGACAGTGCGCACTGCGCGAACGCGCGCGCTGTACGAGGCTCTTTGGGAGCGGCCAAGAGGGGGGTGCCCAAGAGGGGGGGCGCAAATCATGACCGACGGCATGTGCGCGGCCCAGCGGGGGGGCCAGGGACGTAATGTAACAAGAAGAGGCGCCATGCAATCTGGGGAGATATCATAGCCCACGCCATGATATCCACCCCCCCCTAGTCATCACCCCCCTCTTTTCCGCCCCCGAGCTCTGGCCTCGCGGCCCCGGGGGGGGCCGCACTCGTCATGCACGTGGCCGGGCGCGCGCGTCCCTCGGTGGGCTTCCCGTCTCGGGCGGGGCTCGGACGAGGACAGAGCCGCGGCAGTAGGATCAGATCGGGCATGCCCCCTTGCGGGGGGATTTGGGACGAAAATGCGGGGAAAACAAACCTACCTCGCTTTTGACCACCCTCACCTCCAAGAGATACCAAACGACGCCAAACTGCAGCCTGTACTGGTCAGGCCGCTTGACGAGGAGGCGCGGGGTATGGCTTGGTTTTGCCTGGAAGCGAAAGAAGGGTAGGTCACGCTCTGAGAAAAATGAGATTTTAAAAAAAAAGTCCAAGAAGGCTTCCACATGGTCGAAAGAAGTCAAACAAATCGTCCTCAGACTATGTTTTTACTATTTTCGAGTACACCTCCTGTAGAGGGACAGGCCCGACTGAAGGATAGATCCGCTGCAGTGGAAACAAACGAACGCCATAAACAGAAACTTCTGGCGCTCCGCGTGGACTCCTTGGATCTGCGCTGGACCCCCCGCCCTGGCGCGCGGAGCGCGCCAGTGGGCGCCGGAGGCGCCGCCAGGGGGGGCCCAGCGCGGGTCCAAGACATCCGCGCGGAGCGCCAACAAAAGTAATGTTTTGAGTTTTTCTTCTTCGATGCGGAGCGTTCCCAAACGCTCTCAGAGCGTTCGAGAACGCTCTGAGATGAGAAGGCCGCGGCGCCCGAGAGATCCTCTAAAGCCGCCGCATCTCAAAGGTTCTCGGTGCATCCTCGCCGGAATCTGTCCTCGTCCTGGCCTCGTCTGACGTGTCCTGGCCAAGCATGGCTCGAGTAGAGGCCAGGCACGATTCGAGTAGTGGACCGACTACACAATTGATCTGCACCAAGTTGAGCTCCCGTCGCATCTGCGAACGAATGCGTAGAATGCTCCGCCGCTGCACCCCCCTCTCTGGCGCGCGGAGCGCGCCAGGGGCGGCGCTGGAGGCGCCGCCAGGGAAGGCCGCCACGCCGATGCGAGAAATCCGCGCGGAACTGCGGGTTTTCATGCCTGTGCCACTGCTTGGAGACCGTTTTTTCTAGAGTCGGCGATGACCCGGGTTATCCAGGGGGAGGGGAGGAGGAGGAGTAGGAGGAGGAGGAGGAGGAGGAGGAGGAAGAGGAGGAGGGGGCCGGCCGATAACCTAACCCTCGCGCTGTGGTCAGCCGTGCATATGCCCGCGACCCCCTCCCGCGGACCTGCACAACCAGGAAGGTTAGGTTATCTTTGGGGGGGAGGCAAGCCCGATAACCTGGGTTATCGCCGGACCCTCTATACATATATATATATATATGTATATTTATATACAAAAAATGGCTCCCCGAGAACTGACGGATGGCGGGCGGGGCGGCGAGCCGCATGCGGCATGTCGGCTACACGCGATAGTGACCCTAGGCAAGAGGTGGCCTTTCGACGTGGAGCAACGGGGCGCAAAGCGGCCACACCGAAGCGCGCAAGCAGCCGCTGTCGCACGGCGCTCGGCGATCGTGTGGGCCAAAGACCACTCTGGGGAAGGGTCACCCCCGGGTGTTGCTTTAGGTCGGGCAAGTCCTCCTACAGGCGGATGTTGGGCGAAACTGGAAACAAACATCAAACATAAACAAAAAGATGTAAAACATCGAGCCCAGACTATCTTTGCACTATTACCTAACAGCGAAGACTGATAGATTTCTAGTGGTCTCAAAAAAGAGCATCATGACTCCCCAGGGGGGTCTGGGCAGATGCCGGACGGGTGCCGCGGGAATCCGGGGACTCCCCATTTTGATTGCCACGAACAACATTTTGACTGCCCGGAGCCAACAGAACACAATTCCCAGGCCACATTTTGAATGCCCGGAGCCAGCTGTAGGCCACTTCGTGTTCTTCGTGTTCCCAGCACGCCATTCCCAGGCCACATTTTCAATGCCCGGAGCCAACTGTAGGCCACTTCGTGTTCTTCGTGTTCCCAGAACACCATTCCCAGGCCACATTTTGAATGCCCGGAGCCAACTGTAGGCCACTTCGTGTTCTTCGTGTTCCCAGCACGCCATTCCCAGGCCACATTTTCAATGCCCGGAGCCAACTGTAGGCCACTTCGTGTTCTTCGTGACCCCAGACCACAATTCCTGTACTATATTTTGATTGCCCGGAGCCAACTGTGGGCCACTTCGTGATCCTCGTGTTCCCAGAACACCAGTCCTGTGCCATATTTTGAATGCCCGAGCGGAGGCAGGCTGAGGCTGAGGCCGAGGCAGGCTGAGGCTGAGGCTGAGGCAGGCTGAGGCTGAGGCTGAGACTGAGGCAGGCTGAGGCTGAGGCAGGCTGAGGCTGAGGCTGACGCAGGCTGAGGCCGAGACAGGCTGAGGCTGAGGCTGAGGCAGGCTGAGGCTGAGGCAGGCTGAGACTGAGGCTGAGGCAGGCTGAGGCTGAGGCTGAGGCTGATGCAGGCTGAGGCTGAGAGACTGACGCTGAGGCAGGCTGAGGCTGAGGCTGAGGCTGAGGCCGAGGCAGGCTGAGGCTGAAGCTGAGGCAAGCCGAGGCAGGCTGAGGCTGAGGCTGAAGCTGAGGTAGGCTGAGGCTGAGGCTGAGGCTGATGCTGTGGCTGAGGCTGAGACAAGCTGCGGCTAAGGCAGGCTGAGGCTGAGGCTGATGCAGTCTGAGGCTGAGGCAGGCAGAGGCTGAGGCTGAGGCAGGCTGAGGCTGAGGCTAAGGCCGAGGCAGGCTGAGGCTAAGGCCGAGGCAAGCCGAGGCAGGCTGAGGCTGAGGCTGAGGCTGATGCTGAGGCAGGCTGAGGCTGAGACAGGCCGAGGCTGAGGCTGAGGCAGGCTGAGGCTGAGGCAGGCTGAGGCTGAGGCCCAGGCAGGCTCAGGCCGAGACAGGCTGAGGCTGAGACTGAGGCTGAGGCTGAGGCTGAGGATGAGGCCGAGGCAGGCCGAAGCTGAGACAAGGTGAGGCTGAATGGGGGGGGGAAGGGGGTGGGGAGGAGGGGAGGCTGAGGAAGGCTGAGGCCGAGGCAGGCTGAGGCCGAGGCAGGCTGAGGCTGAGGCTGAGGCAAGCCGAGGCAGGCTGAGGCTGAGGCTGAGGCTGAGGCTGAGGCTGAGGCAGGCTGAGGCTGAGGCAGGCTGAGGCTGAGGATGACGCAGGCTCAGGCCGAGGCAGGCTGAGGCTGAGGCTGAGGCAGGCTGAGGCTGAGGCCGATGCAGGCTGAGGCTGAGGCTGAGGCAAGCCGAAGCAGGCTGAGGCTGAGGCTGAAACTGAGGCAGGCTAAAGCATCCGTAGGAATCCATAGGAATCCTTAGGAATCCTTAGGAATCCTTAGGAATCCGTAGGCATCCTTAGGAATCCGTAGGCATAGTTAAGCATCCTCAGGAATCCTGAGGAATCCTTAGGATTCCTCAAACCTCCTTAGGAATCCATATGAATCCCTAGGAATCAGGATCCCTAAGGATTCCTAAGGTTTCCTAAGGATTCCTATGGATTCCTAAGGATGCCTAAGGATGCCTTAGGAATCCCTAGGAATCCTTAGGAGTCCATTGGATCCTAAGGCCGTTGCCACTGCGACTGTTATTGCGAATGCGACTGCGACTGCGAGAACAGCAGAATTCTACAACTGGGTTCTCACCTGATTCTTAAGGGGAATGCTTCCAGGTATGCTTATACACATCGCTGTTAGGTTGCTTTGCCGGGATAATGTTTGGATATTCCTCCTGTAGAGGGACGTGCCCGACTTAAGTGTTGCTAGAAGTGCCACTGGCCCAAGCTGCCCCCGTGATCTCCAAGGAGGCCCCCGCGGCCTCCGGAGCACCCCCCCCACGAGGGCCACAGGGCCCCATGGAACTCCGGGATGGAGCGAGACGCTGGGGGCACTCTGAGGCCAGGGGCACCTTCAACCACCCCCGACACTCCTTACGCCAGGGAACCCACAAAAGACCTACGCGCCCAACCACGTACATGAACACGGCCTCTCGATCCGCGAGACCGCCCGCGTGATACGAGCAATCGCGCCATGCACATTCTCGAAGCCAATGTGGATTCGTGTACGTGCACGTCCTTCTTTCGCTCCGGATTCGCATGGTCCAGACATGAGCGACGCCCAGAAACGGGTCTTGCGCGAGATGACGCAGCGACCGCACGCGGTGGCTTACGCGGGCCGCCCGCGCGGCACGCCACATCTGAAGCGAGGGCGCTTACGCGAGACTTTACGCCAGCAACTGACGCGCCAATGTCGGCGCAAACGACCCCGGCTTTTCGCGTCGCTCTCATGGGCCCTCCCCGGCCGCGGGGACCTTGAGCCGGCCCTCCACCGTGGACTCGTCCACGGAGCCCAGGTCCTCCTCTGGCGACGCGCACAGGTGGATATGGTGCATCCTCGGAGGACCTTGTCTGTCCAAGCTCGGCCGCATCCGCGTCGAATCGGTGTCGAATGTATGTCGGACTCGTCGGGTCCGTGTCGAATCCGTGTCGAACCTGAATCGAATCCGCGCCAAATCCGCGTCGAGTCCGCACCGAGCCCGCGTCGGGCACAAGACAAGACACCAATTCGTGGGACAGGCGAGGTCCCCCGAAGATGCAGCGTAAAAAGGGGTACTTAGGAGGGCGGAAGGCTTCTCGGAAGGAGGCCGCCTCTCAGAAGGCGAAGCGGCCCTGCATCCGCAGACAAGGCCAGCACCCTCTGAGCAGCAGGGGTGCTCCTAAGAAGCCGTCACCCCTCCCCCCTGACCCCCTCTGCGCGTGGCTGAGAAGAGGAGTACGGCGAGCACGACGGAGGGAGGAGGAGAAGGAGGAGGAGGAGGGGAGGAGGAGAAAGAGGAGGAGGAGGACAAGAGGAGTAAGAGGAGCAAGAGGAGGCGGAGCAAGAGGAGGAGGAGGAGGAGGAGGAGGAGGAGGAAAAGAGGACGAGGAGGAAAAGAGGACGAGGAGGAAAAGAGCACGAGGAGGAGAAGAGGACGAGGAGGAGGAGGAGGAAAAGAGGAGGAGGAAAAGGGGAGGAGGAGGAGGACGACGACGACTCGGACGAGGAGGGAGTCAGAGCGAGGGCCGAGGCCGCCCGAGCCCTCCTCCCCTCCCCCGCTGTCCCCCCCCGGCGCGCGGCCGGCTCCTCCTGCGCGGGCACGTCGCCGCCCGGGTACTCGTCGTCCCCCGCGCCCTCGTAGGGGTCGTAGGGCTCCTCGTCCTCCTCGGGCGGCGGGGCCTTCGCGTCCTGGTCCAGGGCCCACTTCGCGTACTCGGACACCTCCGGCTCCTCCTTCTTCTCCTGCGGGGCTGGGGGTGAAGAGGCGCAGCCAGGGCGAGGACACAGTCGGGCGAGGACAAGACCAGTATACCGATCGAGGAGTGCTGCCGCAGGGACCGGGGCGCGCGCGCGAGGAGCCGCAGGGCCACGTCCCGCGGAGAGACCCGATCGAGGAAGGGAGCTCCACTCTCGAGGCCAAGGCGGACCTCACCCAAGACGAAGCCAGGACGAGGACAAAACCGGGTGAGGATAAATTGAGAATCTCTGGGGTCCGGCGGCTCTGGAGGATGCATGGTGCGCCGCGGCCTTCTCAGAGCCTTCCGGAACGCCCTGAGAGCGCGCAAGTAAATCCGGGAGAGGACACGTTCGGGCGAGGATGCATCGAGGATCTCTGAGATGCGGCGGCTCTGGAGGATGTCTCGGGCGCCGCGGCCTTCTCATCTCAGAGCCTTCCGGAACGCTCCGAGAGCCTTCCGGAACGCTCGGGAGCGGATCGAAGCTCGTCCGAGCCCCGTGCGAGACGGAAGCCCACCGAGGACGCACGCGCCCGGCCGCGTGCACGAGTGCGGCCCCCGGGGGCCGCGGGACCAGCACGAACGTTCGCGCAGTGCGTACGTTCAGCGCGGATTCATGCAGTGTACGCCCTTGTGGACGAGTTCTTATTGAGGTCGGGGATCCTCTGACCCTTGTCAATCCATACCCGGGTCAGTCAGGCCTTGCAGGATCCTGCAGGACCCTGCAGGATCTTGCGCCCAAGCCCGAGTCAATGCACCCTGGGCTCTGCAGGATCCTGCAAGATCTGGCACTCTGACTGACCCCCGTTTGCATTGACCCCCACCTCTTGAGCCCCGATCATGGTTTCGACATTTGGCCCCAGGGGGGTGTTCTGGGTCTGGGTCTGGGCCAGTGCTTCGTCAATCTGCTTCTGCAAGTCGCGCAGGCAGACTGGGAAGAAGGGGTCGTGACGAGTCGCCAGAAGCAGCAAAGATCCAATCTATGGGGGGGAGAGCGCGGGCCCGCGCCGATCGGCGAGCCAATGACAAAAAAAGAAAGGACGACCCTTTCTCGCTCCTGACCTTTCGGAGGCCCGAGGTGCGTGCCCGACACGCTATCGAAGTGTCGAGCGAGTATCGCCTCCCGAGGCCCGACGCTCGAAAAACCTCCCGTTTTGGTACCTCCTGGTGCTCGAAACTCTTGCTGAACATCAGAAGTGTACGTCCTGCTTCCGCTCCTGATCCTTCGGAGGCCGCATCATTCGTGTGCCAGACACGCTCGCGAAGGGTCGAGCGAATATCGCCTCCCAGCGCCCGACACTTGAAAGCCCTTTCGTTTCGGTACTGGAGGAAGGCACACAAGGCGGCAGATAAACTGCTGGCGCTGCCCGCGGCTGCCCCTGGGTGGGAGCTGCCCCCCCCCCCCGGTGGCGCCTCGGGGGGGGAGGCAAGGGCCCCGAAGGGCTCTCCCCCTTCCGCCCACGGTCGAGACGCCGAACACGAAAACGCCCACTGTGATGCTCCGAGCACAGCTTGTTGCTGATCACCAGGAAGAGGTCCGAGCACCCGGAGAGTACCGAAGCGGGAGGGCGTTCAAGCGTCGGGCGCTGGGAGGCGATACTCGCTCGACACTTCGCGAGCGCGTCGGGCACGCGTCTGCGGCCTCTCGGAGGAAAAAAAGAAAAAGGGGCAGGTTTCGGTTTTTCTGGTGGGCTGGGGTGTGCTGGGGCTCCTCCACTCCTCCACTGGAATGCAAACAAAAAATGGCGGCATGCACAATATGTTTGCGGATGCCACGACAATGGGCACCCTAACACTCCTCTCCTTGAATTGAAAGTGTGTTTAGAATGTCGGAAAAAGACATTGGAAATATTGAAAACATGTTCTTAAAGTTTAGAACCGGCTGCACACATGTTTCTAGACATCTGGAAACTAATCTGGCAACATGCTTCCTGCCCATTGATCGTCCTCCACAACACCATGTTTGTTCCTCTTCGATCCACGGCCCCCTCCCGCGGGCTCACTCGCGCATTCGGACAACTTGCGGCGGGCCACGACGAGGGCAGGGGGAAAGGGGGGCTGCCCAGAAGTAGGCCGCTTCTTAGAAGGCGCGGGCCTCACATCTGCAGGCGAGGGGCCTGCGCCTCCTAAGAGGCAGGGGTGCTTTCAAGAGGCCCTCCCCCTCCCCCATCCCACCGTCTGCGCGTGGTCGATCTCGGACCAGAGGGGCAGGGACCTCTTCTGGTGTGCTGGGGTGTGCGGGGGGATGTTCAGTGCCTGGCGCTGCCTGGCCCCCTCGCCCCGAGTGCTCCCCATTCCCCTTCTCGCGAGGCATCCTCACGATCGGGCGCAGAAGCTGTTTGGCCCAGCCCCAAAATGGCAAGACGAAGGCAAAACTGGGACACAAGCGGACCGGTGTAAATCGGAAGCCTCTGGGAACTGGCGGGTAGGGATGCTATATCGAGCGCCGCGGCCGTTTGAGGGCGTTCCAGAACGCTCTGAAAGCGTTCCGGAACGCTCTGGACCGGATCTATCTGGATTCAAGGTCTGCCTGGAGTGTGGCGGGGGCCAGACGGGGATGGAGGTGCGCCTTCCTTGCCCAATTTACGAGGAATGGTGATGTTAAGGGTGAAAGGGATGACTGTGACGGTGCCCGCAAGAGTGTCCACGCGAGGGGACTCACCGGGTCGGGGCCAGAGCGCCCGAAAAAGGACATCTACTGCGTGCTGCTGGCAAGGGTCGCTACTATCAGGCCCACTCAGGACTCACAGAACAATGTTCCAACTCGTTCCGCAGTGGCGCTGCGGCCACGTTGATCCACTCATCATCCACATCGATCCACTCGTCCACCCAGTGGGCGGCATGGATAAGGTTCCTTTTCTACCACGAGGCTGAAGCGCGCCTCACACGGGCACGAGGGGGGGGGCACCCCGTCGTGCCCCCAAACCGACACCGCCGCGGAAAAGCGACAGGCAATCGAGAGGTGCATCGAGGCAGGCACGGCAAGCTCATATACCGACCGAAGAGTGCTGCCGCAGGGAACGGGGCGCGCGCGCGAGGAGCCGCAGGGCCACGTCCCGCCGAGAGACCCGATCGAGATCCCCGTCCTGGCCCCGCCCGCTTACCCCAGAGATTTGACCGGACCCCCCCACCAATTTGGGAGGCCGGGGTCCTTCTCGTCCTGGTCGAGGGCCCACTTCGCATACTCGGACACCTCTGGCTCCTCCTGCTTGCCGGCCCCCGCCGGAACCTCGGGGGGGCGAGGTGTGGCATCCTCGATCCTCGATCTGGAGCGGGTCCGCCCCCCCCTCCTCCGCCGCCCCCCCCTTCGTCGTCCTCCTCCTCCGAAACACCGAGACAAGACGGGTCAGCGAACACAGAGCAATAACGCTAACACAGCTCAAACCGCCCGTGAGAAGGGGAGAAAGGGAGGTGCAGAGGCTATGGATGCCTCTGGGCTGCCTGACCGAAGTTGCGGTCGGCAACAAGGCCACGCAGCAGCGGGAAGGGGTCGTCCACAATCCCGCCCCCGCCTGTGACCACCGCCCCCCCCCTCCTCCAAGGTGGGAACCTGCTCTGAGGTAGTCGGGCAGGTACTGGGCGAAGAGACCCCGCACCATAGGATAAGGCTGGGGTTGAATGGAATAGAGGACCCAAGGCTCCGCTGTTCAGGAAAACCCGAGCGCGACAGCCTCGCTCTCTGGACTGCTCGGAAGCACTGCTGGCCCAACAAAAAGCCACCGCCGCAACGACAGTATGTCGTAGCTGGGTGTTTCCCAAGCGTGCGCAACAGCTGCGGAGGAGGGGGGGGGTCCCCCACTCCCCCCCGATGAAACACGCGCAACCCCCACGCACAGCACGCGCGCGAACGCACCATCATACTCGAAATCCCCCGCCCCCCACCTCCCCCAGAGAGGGCAAGCAGAGCGCTGAAAACTCTGGAAGGGGTTGAAGTAAAAAGGGGAGCCGAAGGAAAATGATAATGATTGAGGGATGAGGTAAGATAAGAAGGGCAAACTGGAGATTCTAGCGCCCAGCAGCGGACCGCCACCGATGGGCACCCGACGCAATGGATGCAGGTGTTTTCTTCGCCTTTTCGCCCCTCGCTTTCACTCCATGCTGCTGCTCGTCACAACCTACCGCCGTAGCCTACGCCGGTGCTGAACTGGGTGGCAAATCCATTATGTTCAGCCGCATTTCCTCCTGAATCTCCAGTAGCACCGTGGCGTCAGAACTCGTCGCGAAGGAAATGACCACCCCGCCCTGGCTCATGTGGCCCCGAGGGGCCATGCGACCAGATAGGCAGGTTCGGCCTGATGATATATGATGTTGGGCCCGAATTTCTGCCGACGCCACCAAAATGCTCGCGTTAGGCACAAATCTCTGCACCGCCTCTTGGATTGAGCCGTCCGACTCGGAGTCTGGATCGGACCCCCCCACAGAATTTGTGGAGCGAGCGTCAAATTTGAGCTCCCGATAGATTTCTGACAACGCTATGGCTCGTCTGTTCAACTTAACAAACACGACCGCCCGACTATAAATTGTGGAACGAAGAATCTGCATCATATCCGCATTCTTCTCGCGCTCTGAAACCATGACATGGTGCCGCGAGAGATGGTCCGTGAAAGGGTTATGCTCCTCCTCAGTCTGCGTGGTCTTCACCTCCTCTGCGGGCCCATCGCTTCCCACCGGGCGTGGGGAGCACTCGAAATCCACACTGGTAAGCTGGATTTCTTTAGATCCTGGCCCAGCAGCCCATTGACCACACATTGAAAGAACATCGGCTCTCGCATCTACCATGATCGATTGCAGTTCGTGCAAACGGTCCAGGATCCCATCGTACATGAGCGGGTCCAGATCTACCGTCTGGGTGCACTGCTCACGGACGTCGTCCCCGTTGTTGAAAACCTTGGTGCGCATAGCACTGTTGCTGTCGCCGACGGCGCCCGCAGCGCTCAGCGAGTCCGCGCAAGTGGAAGCAACATGTGCGTTCTCAGCGGTCCGCCTGTCTCCTGAAAGGAAAGGAACGGGCTGGACCTTCGGATGCTCGTTGTCATTCATATCCTTGACTACTAGAAAACGCTGACCCTCTTGTCCGTGATGTGGCGGGTGAGATGGCACGCGTCACTGACGGGCTGCACTGGCAATGCCCTCAGGGGAACCGCCAACTTGCTGAGCTAGCAGCCGCAACTATTGGCAATTTATCCTGTAGAGCAGCTCCTCCGCATTGAGATGCGAACGGCTTCCCATGGCTGCCACTGCTGCGGGTGCCCCTGTCTTGGTCGCCAGGCCTCGCCAAGCCTGTCTGGCCCAAGAAACCTTGAGCCACAATGGCTAATGTTTAAAAACGGTTCGAACAACTATGTCGGGGAGACATATATATATATATATATATATATGTATAACAAAAAACAACAACAACAACAACAAAGGGGGAACACACAAAAAAAAAAAAAAAACGTGTTCCCCCAGCGCTGCAGTGCGCCCATAGAAAACAAAAGGGAGGCGGGGCAAACTGGATCGCTGGAGACGTCCCCGCGACCGCCCTGGCGCCCTGCGTGCAGGGGCCGAGTCCTGCGCACCCCATCTTGGCGTCAGGCCACGCCTGCCACGCCCTGCGACCCCAGCGTGGATAGCGACAGCGCTCAGGGACCATTCCCTGCGCACCGCGCGCCCTGCCTGGGTTGCGACGCGGCGCTGAATACGCAAATGCGGCACGCCGCTGATAAATGTTGTACAACAGGGGCGATGTTTAATTCCAAATCCCAATGGCGAAAACCCAATGTAAATATTCATTCTCTGATCGAAACACGGGAACATCCCAATATGGATATACGACGCGGAGTGCAAAAATGCCAAGCGCCGGCGCGCGGAAGCATGCCGCTGATAGATTTTATACCACGGGACGAAATGTCGCCCGCGAGCGCAGCGGCGGCATGCCGTTCATAGATGCTTTACAACGGGGCGAAACTTGATCTCCAAAGCCCAACAACCTATTTTTGGAAATAATAAGAATAATAATACCATTATTTTCTACACAAACAAAAAACATTCTCTGATTGTAAGATCGGAACATCCACGTGTGGATATACGACACTGAATGCAATAATGTCAATCGCCAACGAGCGCCCTCGCGCGGCGGCGAAATGCCGATGATAGATTCGATACAGCGGGAGCGATGTTGCACCCAAAAACCCAATGGCAAAAACCCCATGTAAACATTCATTATCACAGCGTAAGACGGGGACATCCCCATGTGGATATACGACACTGAATGCAAAAATGCCAATCGCCAGCGCGCGCGCGGCGGCGGCATGCCGCTGATAGGTTTGATGCAACGGGAGCGAGGTTGAACTCCAAAACCCACTGGCGAAAACCCAATGTAAAAATTCATTCTCTGATCGGAAGACGGGAACATCCCCATGTGGAAATACGGCACGAAATGACGCCAATCGCCAACGCGCGCGCGGCGGCGGCACGCCGACGGTAGATTTTTCAATACAACGGGAGCCATGTTGAACTCCAAGACCCAATAGCGAAAACCCAATGTACGCATTCATTGTCTGATCGGAGGACGGGAACACCCTCATCCGGACATGCGACGCGGAATGCAAAAATGCCAATCGCCAACGCGCGCGCGGCGGCGGCATGCTGCTGATAGGTTTGATACAACGGAAGCGAGGTTGAACTCCAGAATCCAATTGCGAAAACCCCATGTAAAAAATCATTCTCTGATCGGAAAGCGGGAACATCCCCATGTGGATATACAACACGAACGCACGCATGCCAATCGCCAGCGCGCGCGCGGCGGCGGCATGCCGCTGATAGGCTTTATACCACGGGAGCGATGTTGAATTCCAAAACCCAATAGCGAAAACCCTATGTAAAAATTCATTCTCTGATCGGACAGCGGGAACATCCCCCATCGGCATTACCCCTGGTACCGAGGTATATACAAATGGCATCGATCGGCACCCATGGAATTTATTCCACGGGGGACAGATAACCAAAAATATCATGATGCGAGTCAATGACAGTCGGGATCCGGGGGGGGGAGGGGGGGGCATCATTTTTTACCGGTTTTGGACATTACGGCCTCCTCCCTTTCCTCATCCTCCTCTCCCCCCCCTCCTGTCTGCAGGGTGACATTCAGTGCTCGGCTTTTCGGGGGTCGCGGAAGGACCAACACACAAGCGCGCAAGACGCTGCAACCGCATCGCCTCCGGCGATCGGGGGAACCCGCTGGGCTCGCACCAGAGGCCCCTCCGGCGAAAGGTTACGTGCAGCCGATCTTCTCCCTGGCGTTGGCAGAACTGGGTTTAGCGGGGCCCGGTTTAGTGGTGTGCACTGGGGGACGCCCCCCCGCCCCGCTCCACTAACGGGAACCGCCGTCACCCGCAAAAACACGAGCTACGGCAGACCTGGCCTGGTGGTCCTGGCCCATGGACGGGCTCCAGGGCCCTACGACTCACCGGGTCCTCTCACCAGGGGCTCTGGCTGTACCCGATTCGCCGCCGCCGCCGCCGCCGTCGGTCAGTCGGTCAGTCGGTCGGTCGGTCGTCTCCGTCGCCGCCGCCGACGCCGCCGAGGCGCCGGAGCAGAGCCTCTGCCTGCCCCGCCGGCGCGCCGCCAGGCACGGAGGGCAGCGCGTCCACGCGGCGCGCGTCGCCCGGCGGCGGCCCGGCGAGCCCCCGCCGCATGGACTGGTCGAAGATGTCCAGGGCCTGCCGCTGGCGTGCCGTGCGAAGGGCGCGGCCGCAGGAGGCCCTCGCGAGGAGCCCGGCCCCGGAAGCCCGCGCGCGAGGTGCACCCGATCGGGGGCCACATGCGAACCCTACACCATACCCCCCACGGTCACTTCGTCAGGGAACTCCTGAGCGAAATGAGCCCCATCCTCCCCCTCAGATATCGTGGGGGGCAGGGGTAGGGTTCGCATGTGGCCCCCTACCCGACGGGAGGCCCAGGAGCACCCCAGGACGCGGCCGCTCCTTCCCCTGGCTGCGGGAAGCCACCGCGCGGCGCGCGGAGCGAAGAAAGCCTGGATACCCTGAAGAAAAGCAGGTGGTTTCTTGACGCGCGCCCCAAACTGTAAGTAGAGGCCCCCTGGATGGGGTCCGAGCATATGGGGTCGAAGGAGATCACGCCGCACTGCCGACGCATCGCCGAAGTACCGGCGCTGTATCGGCGACGCTGGCGTGAAGAAAGTTGGGCTCCACATCGAGCCGCATCGCCGATGCATCGGCGATACGACGCGATCCTGGATCCTCCGACCCCATCTACTCCGACCCATCTAGGAGGCCTAGAAGAAAAAATCGGGTGACCCTCGGACAAGCTTTCACAGCGGGCATATTCGCTCACTTGCGGGCCCCAGGACCATCACAAATCGATCCGGCTCGAAAGATGACGCGGAAGATGGGGTCCGCGGCTCAGGCCGTGACTTTGTGCGATGCTGTTTACCTAACAGCGAAGACTAATAGGTTTCTACTGGTGTCAAGAGAGAGCATCTGATGACTCAGAAGGGAGGTCTGGGCGGCATCCGGACAGCGAGGGCCGGGCTCAAGGCCGGGCTCGCTTTAAGCAAACAATCGCACACTTCGTGCTCTTCGACCTCCCAGAACTCCATTCCCGGGCGACATTTTCAATGCCCGGAGCCAACTGTAGGCCACTTCGTGCTCTTCGACTTCCCAGAACTCCACTACCGGGCCACATTTTGGATGCTCGGAGCCAACTGTAGGCCACTTCGTGCTCTTCGACTTCCCAGAATTCCATTCCCGGGCCACATTTTGGATGCCCGGAGCCAACTGTAGGCCACCTTGTGCTCTTGGACTTCCCAGTTTCCACTCCCGGGCCACATTTTGAATGCCCGGAGCCAACTGCAGGCCACTTCGTGCTCTTCCACTTCCCAAAACTCCACTCCCTGGCTACATTTTGAATGCCCGGAGCCAACTGTACGCCACTTCGTGTTCTTCCACTTCCCAGACTTCCAAGACTCATCATCTTCATCATCATCATCGTCCCCGTAGCCTTCTTGGCTACAGCCCTGCTTTCGAAGATTTCCTATCAAAGGAACTGCGCAGCGCCTACTGCGCACCTTAATGCCACGACATGCTGATAGTTTTCGGTCTGGCGGCGGTGTTCCTGACCCTGCTGCATTGAACAGCGGTGCTCCTCAGCCTGCGGCAGGGAACAGCGCTGCTCCTCAGCGACTGCCACTGCGAATCCAAATGCGACTGCGAGAACACTAGAATTCTACAACAGCGCTCTTACATGAATACCACAGGCAATGTTTCCAGCTATGCTTCTACACATCGCTGTTAGGTTGCTTTGCCGGGATCAGTTTCTGGAACGTCGGATCTCAAGGGAGGATAATTAAATCTAGAATCCCTGAGACCCCGCGACCCAGCGACTTTGGAGGATGCATAAGGCGTCGCGGCCGTCTCAGAGCGTTCCAGAACGCTCTGAAAGCGTTCCGAAACGCTCTGGCACGGATTTGGCCACTTCCGCCGGCGCTCGCCGCCGCCTCCTGAGGTCCTGACGCTGGGCGTGAATAAAGAAGGGTCCCTGGGACACACGAGTAAATAGACACATGTAACAGGATCCCACATCTCTCCCCGTACCTTCTGGGCTTTCGTCTTCCCCCCCACGTCCCATATCTTCCAACATTTTCTCCGCAATCGTTGATTCACTGTGTCTGCGTGTTGTTCTCCATCCTGAGTGAACGAATGCGGGCGCTCCCTGGCGGCGCGCGCAGGGGGCCAGAGGGAGGGGGCGGAGGCTTCTCCGAAGGAGGCCGCTTCCTGGCAGGCGCCGGCACCGTGCCTACGGGCCAGGGTCGCGCCTGCTAGGGAGCAGGGGTGCTTCTCGGAAGCCTTCCCCGCCTCCCCCCCTGCCCCCTTCTGCGCGTGGCCGAGGATGGGGTCGTCGAAGAGTCGGGGATCTTCTGACCCGGGTCGGTGCAAACCCGGGTCAGCCGGGATCCTGCAGGATCCCGCGGGATCCTGCAGGATCCTACGGATCCTGCGCCCAAGCCCGGGTCAGTGCAACCCCGGCCCTGCAGGATCATGCAAGGTCTGGCACTCTGGCTGACCCCCGTTTGCGTCGACCCCCGTCTCTTGAGCCCCGAAAAAGATCCCCTGAGAAATCCTGGCCTTGAGCAGTGCTTGGTTGATGAGAGGCCTCCTAGCTGGGGTCCAAACAAGTGGGGCCGAAGAGTCGCGCCGCATCGCCGATTCATCGCCGATGCATCGGCGATGCATCGGCGATGCGTCGACGGTGCATCGGCGGCGCCGGTGAGGGGAAACACGGGCTCCACACAGTGCCGCATCGTCGATGCGGCGCGACACCCCAACCCCATCTGCTCCGACCCCGTCCGGGGAGAAACGTGCACCCTTCGTACACCTTCTGGGGCCACAGAGGGCCCCCCATTGTGCGCGACGCCCGGTGGCGTCTCCATGCTTTCGAGCCGGGCTCCCAGAGCGGCCAAGCCCGAGACACGGACCAGAAGGCGGGGGGCTCAAGATTCTCCAGGCGAGGCTTTGCGCGATGCTGCATTTGCTCGCGACGTCGGGTCTCGGGGCCAGGGCCGTCCGCTGGCGGTCGGCGCCGCGTTCCGGTCAGACGCAAGAGTGGCCCCAGGCCAGAGTGACCTCGAGTGCGCGGCGAGGAGGCCACACACCCGAGCGCGAGAGCCGCTGCGATCGCATCACGCCCAGCCATCTGTCGGAGAGAAAAGGTACCCATACCCATACCCTTCGCCCGTTCTCCCCTTTTTGGGCCTCCAAGGCGGCCCTCGTCGCCACCGATGGATTCGCCTCCTCTTCTCCCCTCCTCCTCTCCCGCCCCCCTCCCCCCAGCGAGCAGTGGGGAAGTGGAGGAGCAGGAGGAAGAGGAGGCGGAGGAGGAGGAGGAGGAGGAGGAGGAGGAGGAGGAGTGTGACGAAGACAACGGCCCGAAATAGCCTCCACGACGGCCGCGACGGTTCCAGAACAGCCCATGCGAGCCCCAAGATGCCCCAAAATGGTTCCAAGAGGACCCCTTGGGAGGGCCCCCGTGATGCCAAAATCAAACTTGCCTTGCGATTTTAAACGGTTTTCACCTCTGCGCATCCTCGGGCCTCTGCAGGCCCAAAACGGCCAAAGAAGAATCCAAAATGTCCCCAAGACAACCCAGGACGCCGCCAAAAGAGCACCACGGACTCCGGGGGGCGTTTCTCTGAAGCCCACAGGGCCCACGCCAGAGCCCAATGGAAAACCCCAAGACGGGCCCCTGCGACCTTCACGACGCCGCTGTGACGCCCCACGGGTGCCCCCCAAAGACCCGCCAGGCAACATGGGACGGTGCACGGTGGCCTCCACAACCGCAGGCGCCCCCCCCCCCGGAGGCCCGCCGTAGCACGCGCGGCCTGCGGCCTGGCTGCGCAGAGATTTCCCAAGCTCGGGTGGCGGAGATGTGCGCGGCGCCGCAGTTGGCTCATCCCTCGTGCCCCCCCCGGTCTCCCGACGCTGCACTGCGCTGTGCGCGCTGGAAAGGTTCGGCGATTCCGAACACCAGCGACAGCCCAAACACGGCCAGCCTTGGCTGCACCATTGGGCATCAACCTGGCCAGCGGGAGTAAAGACCCTTAGTGGCTCAGGAGCTGTGGGACGTCACAGATGGGGTCGGGGTAAAAAGGGTCGGAAGATCGCGCCGAATTTCCGATGCATCACCGATGCATCGCCGACGCGTCGGCGATGCATGGGCGGTTTATCGGCGACGCCGGCGTGGAGAAAATCGGGTTCCACATCGAACTGCATCGGCGATGCATCGGCAATGCCGCGTGATCCTCCGACCCCATCTACAGTCAACCCGTATAATAAGGACGCACGATCAGGATGCAAGGGCCTTGGAAGGCCCTGCCGACACCTTGCGGGCGGGGCGCGGCCAGCGAAAGCGGCTCAGGCTGGGCAAAAAGGCGAGGATGCAGGGGCAACGCTGGGAAATCGCTCATCCTTACTATACGGGTTAACTGGACCCACTCGCCTGCTCAAGGGGGCCAGACTCCTGGGGGTCCGAGCCACCGAAGGGCACGCAAAGAAAAATGTGTTCCCTGAGCAGGCCCTGATCGGACAAGAACCGCAAGCGCCGATGTCGTTCACTGGGCTTGACTTTGGAAAATGGTTCGCCCTTGCTGCACGGGTTGACTGCGCTCGGGCCCCCTACGCGTTTACGTTAGGGTCCGATCGATCAGCGCTCGGCCGCCGCGCGGGGGACAGACGGAAACTGGAAAAATGCGCGTTCGGGCGTCGCCGCAAGCAAGGAGGAAGAAGAAGGAGGAGGAGGAGGAAGAGCAGGAGGAAGCAGAACCGAACACGGAGCCCCTGGGCTCCTGCCCTTAGCCGCCCCACCTCATGGCGGACCCCAGATGGGAGGCCCGAGCTGCCAACTGGTATTGCGTATAGGGCTCCTCCTCCTCCTCCTCCTCCTGGTCCTCCTCCTCCTCCTCCTCTTCGCACATGGCCACGCGACACAGTCCTGTCTATCGGCCCGGGCCCGCGCGCGCGCAAGGTGTACCCGCGTGAGGGGCATCGAGGAGTTAGCGGCCGAAACAGACAGAGGATAGGGCGGGTGAACGAAGGCACGAAGATTCAATAACAACATGTGAACACAAGCGGGGACGGACAGATAATCGCAGGTGGGAAACAAAAAAAACAATACCGAGGCGGCAGATGGGACAGATACCCTCCTCCCCTTCCTCATCCTCTTCCTCCTCCTCCTCCTCCTCCTCCTCCTCCTCCTCCCCCTCCTCCTCGTCACCAGAGGGGCGCGCAGCCCAAGGGGGCAGCAGCTCGTGCCTCCGGTGGCGCCCGCGGCCCGCGCCTTCGGCCGCGCCTCCCCGCGCGAGGGCGGGCAGTGCCCGCCCCGTGGGGCTGTGTTCGCTCCTGCCGCCGCCGCCGCTGGCCGATGGCGTCGGGGGCTGCGCACCGACGGCCCCCTCTGGCACTCCCGGCGGGCCTCGACAGCCCCCCCCCCCATACGAACTAGCTATTCCAGACCTCCCCATCCCGACCCGAAGACCCAAAATTTGACCCGAATGTCGGGTTGGGGAGGGGGGGGGAAGGGTTCCATGTGTTTTTTCAATGTTCCCCGACCCCACCCCTCCACTGGAGATGGAGGGCAAATTGCAGCCTTCGGGTCGGGTTGGGGTGACTTGGTGGGCGGTGACATACAGGCCCCCCTATCCGGGGCGCGCGAACATGGACTAGCGATCCATGGATTTGGTGCGCGGTCGCCAAATCCACGGATCGGGGGACGTGCCCTCCCCAAAATGCGGCCGGTGCCACCTCGCCTGGCGGCCGCAATCCGCGATTTCCCATGGAAGCGGGAACCGCCGCTAATCCACGCTCCCTTGATCCATGTTTGCGGTCGCCTGAAACAGCCCCCCCCCCCATACAGGCCTTCCGAGCAGCCCCGGGCGGTCTCAACACCTCAACCCTCATGATCCTCCTCCCTCCTCCCCCGTAGCATTAGGTCGGGCGTGTCCCCCGACAGGCGCAGTTGGGGCGAAAAATAAAAAATTCCCGCCAAAATGCCCCCTGAATCATCAGACAAGAATCAGAAACTGGTCCCCACAGGATTTGCTTGACCACTGTTGTATACTCCTCCTGTAGGAAGGGACACACTCGCCCGACTTAACCGCAGCAGCTCTCCTCCCTCTCCTCGGGAGCGGCCAAGAGGGGGGTGTCCAAGAGGAGGGGGTGCAAATCATGACCGGCGGCATGTGCGCGGTCCAGCGGGGGGGCCAGGGACGTAATAAAATAAGAAGAGGCGCCACGAAATCTAGGGAGATATCATGGCCCACGCCATGATATCCACCCCCCCTAGTCATCACCCCCCTCTTTTCCGCCCCCGATCCCCCTCGGGCCTTCTTGACCAGGCTCTCGTGCGGCACCGTCGCCCGGTACTCCTGGGCGGGCGCGCGGGCGGCACGGGCGCACGGCGCGGGAGCACGGCGCGGAAGGACGGGGATCCAGGCGAGGTCAGATTCTCCTCCACCTCCTCCTCCTCCTCCTCCTTATCCTTTATCCTTATCCTTCTCCTCCGCCTTCTCCTCCTCCTCCTCCTCATCCTCCGCCTCCTTCTCATCCTCCATCCTCATCCAACTTCCTCTTCCATCCTGCATCCTATTCTATCCTCCATCCTCCATCCTCCATCCTCCTCCTCCTCATCCTCCTCCTCCTCCTGCCGGCTCCTCCAAGTCGTTCATCTCTCCTATCTTTCCAAATTAGTTTTCTCTTCCTTCTCCTCTCTCCTCCTCTCCTACATCTCCTCCGCATCCCTCCTCAATCCTTCTCGTTCCTCCCTTCCGCATCCTTCCTCCTCCTCTTCCTCCACCTCCGGCTGTTACAATTGCTCCTGGTCCATTATTCCTCTCTCCTCTTCCTGTCTTCGCGCTCCCCCCGCGCATGTCCTTCCTCCAACTCCTCCACATCCCCCCTCCTCCTCCGCGCGGGCGCTGCGCAGGAAGAAGCAAAAGGAGGAGTTGCTGATGGAGGAGGGATACGAGGAGGAGGAGGAGGCGGAGGAGAAGGAGGAGAAGGAGGAGCAGCAGGAGGCAACAAAGAGTCGGAGAGGGAAGGACGGCGAGGAGTACACGGAGAAAGAGGGAGAAGGGGGGGGGGGGGAAGAAGGAAGAGGAGGAGGAGGAGGAGGAGGAGGAGGAGGAGGAGGAGGAGGAGGCAGAGGAGGAGGCAGAGGAGGAGGAGGAGGAGGAGGAGGAGGAGGGACGCAGGGCGAAGGAGAGAGGAGGGACGAACCAGCGAGGGAGGAGCGCGGTGGAGGGTGCCCAGGAGCCCCTTCCGACGAGGAGGAAGAGAACGATCAGGAGGCCCACCTTTTCCCAAAAACTGCGCGGGGGCCGACGGGCTGGGCTTGCGCCCGCCCGGCCCTCCATGGTCGCGGCGCCGCGGGAGGAGAGGATGGAAGGGGAGGAGGCGGGGAACGAAGCGGGAGGGGACCCAGATCTCCGACGATACGATTTCGTCAATCCTGGCGTCTCTCCTCGATGTCAGCCCCCCCGGGGGCCGCTTCCGAACCCTGGGGCCATCACAGACAGACCCACGGGCCGAAAGCTGTCTCCGGGGGGAAAGGGGTCGGAACCTCTTAGGCCGCGTCTCGAAGCAACCACGTCGTCGTCGGATGCCAGAATGGGCGGGGGGGGAAGGGCCAAGGGGGGGCGACGGGGGGGCAGGGGAGCGGGGGGGGGATGGGGGAGGGGGAAGACGGGCGGGGGAGGGGCCGAGTCGAGGAAAACCAAGCTGGGCGCCCTCGCGCCATATCTGACGTCCTACAGCTCCCACCCACCTCTACCCACTGCGCTGGATCATGTTGTGTCCGCGGGGTGTCCTAAGAAACGGTAATCCCCAAAATGACCCCACCGTGCGATACGAGGTCAGCGAGTGGATGCTGTGTGCAGTGGGAGATGCGGCAGCGGTTGCGCAGGATAACGTCTCGTTTGCCCAGAACGGCGCTCCTGCCCCTGGCGCCTGACACATTCATGCCCCCTCGTGCGCGCTTACGAAGCCGTGCATATGAGAAGAGATCCCGCCGCTGGAAATCAGAGGATGTTTCTGTTGGGCGATACCTGGTTGTCCTAAGGTGCCCAGGCGCTGCTGCGAATCCCCAGGGCCATCGGGGGATACAATCGGGGCGTTGACCTAAGGAACCCTAAATAAGGAACGAGGCCCCTATTTTCCATAAGTTGAACTTCGATTTCGTATCGAAAACCTAAAGACAATCCACGCAAGGTTGTCCGAAGGTGCCCGGGCGCTGCTGCGGATCCCCAGGGCCATCGGGGGACACAGCATCTCCGTGGGGTGCCTGCCGGCAGGCCGGCCTACGATTTGTTGCACTTAACCGTCCTGCTGTACCCAGCATACACGCGGGCGTCGGTTTGAAGCGCGGGCTGAGTTTGGAGGGGAAGTGGGGGGGAACACGAGGATCCGAGGAGGAGGACGAGGAGGGGGAGGCGGAGGAGGAGGAGGAGGAGGAGGAGGACAGGATGAGAGGGAGGAGGAGGAGGAGGAAAAACAGGAGGAGGAGGAGGAGGAGGAGGACGGAGGCGGAGGAGAAGGAGGAGCAGGAGCAGGGGCAGGAGTAGTTGAAGGCGAACAAGGGGGGGGGGGTCGTTTCGGGCGCTCGCTTCCGAACCGTGGCAAAAAAAAAACAAGAAGGGGGGCGGCGGCAACGACGAAGAAACCTTCGGGCCCGGAATTGCAGCCCGCACGTGGGCGACAACAGCGACAATTTTGAAGCCGCGGGAACAGAACACCGATCCCGAAGAGCGCGGCCGACGCGGCAGCGGGAGCACCATTGCGACCGACGGACGACGCAATGCAGGTTGAGCACAACTGTTGTGGGGGAGCGCTCTGATTGAAAAGCGCGTGACAGGCAACGTGTGGAAGCCCAGTACGCGCTGAACAACACCGCGCCACGAAACGACAGTGTCAGAGCCCAAGGGAAGGGGGGGGGGCGGGAGCAATGTCAGCTTGCAGCCATCAAATACACGGGGGCCGCGTGATTAAAACAAACGTTCCCCTGCTAGAACGAATCGCCGGGGGGGGGCGCCCGCCAAATGAATGGACACACGGCGGCGGCGCCGGTGACTAGCGCCGATGCTCGGCCGCCAGCGAAAGGGCGACAAGCACGACGCAAGCGGCGTCGCTTCAGCGGAGAGGGGACAGCAGCGTCTCTGCTATAGCTGGGCGCTTGGGCCAAAATGTTCAAACACAACAAAGGAAGAGAGGAAACGGGGGGAAAAGGCGCCTCAGCTGGCGGGCGGCGCCGACATGGCTGTAAACTGAAAGGGGGCGAGGGGGGATAAGCGGCTGAGGCAGATGGAAAGGGCTCGTCATTCTCTTTTTGGCCCTTCCCGCCCCCACCACACTAGATCGTACGACGACGACGACGGCGACGACGACGGCGAAAGTGACGGTGACGGCGACAGCGACGGCTACGGCGGCGACTGCGAGTGCGACGGCGGACGACGACGCATTGTAGATACTCCATGACGGTGAAGGGCGGGTGTGCTGCGCATGCCCGCTGTAATCGACGACGACGACGACGACGACGACGACGCACTTCGGATGCTCCATGGGGGGCTGCATAGGCCCGCTGTCGACGCACTGCGGATGCCCTATTGGGGGGCTGTGTAGGCGCGCTGTAGTTAACGACGACGACGACGCCGCTGCCGACGACGACTAGGACGACGACGACGCAACGACGACGACGTCGAAGACGACGACGAAGACAACTGTGGCCCGTCAGCAATCAGCCTGAGAGGGGGGAGGAACTTCGCGTCGGATGTGTACGATCCCTGTAACAACCCCTATACGGAAGCCAACTGCTTGACGGCTGCAGCGCAAGGGGGGCACGATCCCTTCGGCGGCGCCGGCGACGACCCCTGGTGCGCGCGCGAAGAAAGAATGCGTCGCGCCACGCGGAGTCGATTCGTCAGACTCGGGGGGCGGGAAATCACAAGCTGACGCGGGCACCCGCGATGTGCACGCAGTTGTGGAGGGGGGGCAGGCGAGCGGGGCGGAGGAGACAGGGAGAGGGGGCAGGCGGGGCGGGCGGAAGGGGGAAGAGAGAGAGAGGGGGAGAGAGAGAGAGAGAGGAAGAGAGGGAGAGGTAGAGCGACAGGGGGGACAAGGAGGGAGAGAGAGGGGGGGGCAGAGAGGGAGCGAGAGCAGGAGAGAGCGGACAAGCAAGCGGACGGCCCGCTGGCGCCTGGCTACTGCGGTAGGCTAGGGCGCTCACGCACGCTTGGCGGTGGTGCGCACCTTCGGGAGCAGGGGATTTTGAAACAACCACCCCCAGGCGCAAAACGACTGAGGTAAATGGACAGGGCGGTGAGCAGGCGATACGTCGCGTCTCTCTCTCTCTCTCGCTCTCTCTGCGCCCCGCATGGGAGAAAAGGCCCCTGTCGGCAAAGCCCTGGTTGGCGGCCGGGGGGACAAGGGCTTGACCGCTGAGCGGCGTGTAAGCGATGGGGCGTACCCCGCCGCCGCACCCAAGCCCCGATGACGCGTGGCCGCGCGGGCAATCGGGCTGGTGCGTAAGGGGGGGCGTACGGCCGAGTGTGGAGCCCTACGTGGGCACGCATGGCACTGAGAAGGTCATGCGCAGATGGGGCGGGTAACGCCCCGTTGGGCGAAGAGGGCCGGAGGGAAGGGCAGTCTGAGCGCTGCGCAGGCATTGCATCAGCTGGCCTTGCTGGATGTAAACACGAGCCTGACACGAAAGCGAAATATACTGGTGGCAGAGGTGATAGTACGACGCCTGAAGAACAGCGGCTCGGCCGTGGGCAGGACGCGGAGCAAACGGCGGGTGGGCCTCGGCGGCCGTGCTGGCTAGGTGCGCGGCGAGGTCGACGCGGCGGTCGGTGCGGAGAGACAGGGAAAAAGAGAGAGAGAGAGAGGGGGAGAGAGAAAGGGAGAGAAAGGGAGAGAGAGAGAGAGAGAGAGAGGGAGAGACAGGAGGAGAGAAAGAGAGAGAGCGAGAGAGAGCGAGATAAAACGAGAGAGAAAGAGAAGGAGAGAGAGAGAGAGAGAGATAGAGTTGGGGGGGGCGGGGGCACAGGGGGAGGCGAGCGACGGGATTGAGGAGGGGGGGCTGGGGCGGGGGGGGGGGGAAGGGGGGGAGGGAGGGGGGGGGGAGCAGGGGCATTGACCATCCGCCAGGAGGCGGGCGGAAAAGTGGCGGGGGAGGGGGGGGGCCCGCACCGGCAACAGCCGGCAAACAAAACAAAAAACGCGCGGCAGCTCCGCGGCCGTGCCCCCCCCCGGCGCCGCCGAGAGGCGGCGCGCAATGGCGGGGCGAGGCCGGCCTCCCCGCCCCATGGCGATGAGCAGCCAGAGAACCCCTGACCCTGTGGGAGGGGGGGACCCAGGTTTGTGTCGGGCGTGTC